AAAAGCTCAGAGTAGCAAACGTCGCGGCTCTCGCACGAAACACGAGGCCGCATCCGTCATGGCCGTGGCCGTTCTCATTGCAGTCGATAGGCAGGTCATGAAAGCCCCGTCCAGAAGATGCATAAGCCACCAGCATAAATGCCGCCAGGCAGAGAGACCCCATACAGGTGCCATACACGAACTGGTCCCGAATCAGATCCAAGGTGAAGACTCCCGACCGCAAGTTGCGGGGCGGACGCTGTAGAATGTCTGGCTGCGCCTCTTCCAAGCCCAAGCCAAGAGCAAGGGGTGACGAGGTGACTAGGTTAGCCCATAGGATTTCGAGTGGCGACAACGGAAACACAGCGATCTTATCCTCATCCTTGAACGCCAGCCCAATCAATAGAAGGATGACCTGGGCCAAGTTGGAGGTGAGGAGATGCAAGAGGAACTACAAGCATATACACGTTAGCCCAATCATTTTTGTACAAGTATTTGTGGCTTAGGGGAGAGCCAACAAGCCTACCTTTTGGATATTGTCTGCAAGCCGGCGTCCTTCCTTGATGCCTGTCACGATGGATGCAAAGTTGTCATCCGTCAGCACCATGTCTGACGCTTCCTTGGCCACATCGCTTCCCCTATCGCCCATGGCTATACCCACGTCGGCCTGCTTCAGTGCTGGCGAATCGTTGACGCCGTCACCAGTCATGATGCAAAACGCCTTCCGGCGATGCAATGCCTTGATGACTCTGACTTTGGTCAGGGGGCTGCATCTGGCAATGACAAGCGGAAGGGTATCCATGGCATCTATCTGGTCGTCTGTGAGATTGCCAAAATCGATCGCCGACATGACAGTTTTCGGGGACAAGGGTACGTCATGCGACAAGATGCCAACTTCGTATGCAATCGCCGTCGCCGTCTTGATGTGGTCGCCCGTCACCATGTGCACGGCAATACCGGCCTGGCGACACTGCGATACTGCACCAGCCGTCTCTGGACGAGGAGGATCATACAGACCAGCAAGTCCGAGGAAGTGAAGGCCACTTTCGACCTGGGAGCGGTCATGGGCGTCCTCCTTCTCCCTGTCCAGGGTTCTGTTGGCGATGCAGAGCACTCTGAGACCTTCAGCAGCGAGCTCCTCTGCCTTGGCGTGGATCGTCTGCTTCAGCTCTTCAGATTCGTCGAGTTTCGGCACAACTACCTCAACGGCACCTTTGGTATACACTTGGGACTTGGCATCGATGTCTCTACCATAGACAACACTCATGAGTTTGCACGACGAGTCAAAGGGGTGCTCTGCGACGAGTTCATCGCCGGCAGTCTTATTCTTCCCAAAGCGCAGAGCAAAGACTTTGAGAGCTATCTCTGTAGGCTCCCCCACTACCTTCCATTCATCTGACCCAAATGCCGTTGTGACACTACTGGAGTCAGTCTCGAGCTCCTTCTTGCCGTCGCTAACGGTGGAGTTGTTGCATAGGACCAGAGTGTCGAGAAAGGCGTTGAAGCAAGTTCCTACGAGCGATCCGGACCACGACACGGTGCCGCTGCTCGGATCATAGGGGTTGGAGGTGCCTTCGATAAGGCCAACGAGGCCGCCTCGAAGCCACACTTTGCGGGCAATCATGCGTCCCTGGGTGAGGGTGCCAGTCTTGTCGGAGCAAATGTTGGTTACTCCTCCAACGGCCTCGAGAGACGGCATTTGGCGGACGATTACATGTCCCTTAACCATTGCCTTGGTAGCGACAGCCATAGTGACGGTAAGCACGGCAAGGAGGGACTCCGGAATAACGGCGACGCCAACACAAATGCCGTACAGCAGAACATTGTCGTCAATGTCCCACCTACTAACAGAGAAGACAATGACGGCTAGTAGTATGGCCAAGGCGAATAGCAGGAGAGCAAACTTGCTGAGAGTGACTTGCAGAGGCGTCCCTTCGAGGCCAAGAATGTTCCTGCTAGTCTGGTAGCAGTTGATGAGGAACCTGCTGACGGGGCCAGAGCCAGTGTTCTGCTTCTTCTTTTGACGCAGCAGTTCGGCGATCTGGCCCACCTCGGTCTTCATCCCGGTAGATATTACAATGCCAGTCGCCCGGCCTCGAGTCACGGAGCTTCCAGTGTAGACCAAGTTTGTGCGATCGCCCATGGGGAGATCGGGGTCGTTGAAGATGACATCTGGTTTCTTGCTGATGGCTACAGATTCACCCGTGAGGTGAGATTCGTCCGTTGCGAGGTTGATGCCTTGAACAAGACGTAAATCGGCGGGCACTACGTCTCCAGTGGAGAGCCAGACCAGGTCACCCTTGACTAGGGTTTCTGCCTTGACGGTATCGTTGAACCCATTCCGGATGACTTTGCATTTGGGAGTAGACAAGGCGTAGAGCGACTGGATTGTCTGCTCAGCGCGGTAGTCCTGGATCAACCTGTAATTTTGTTTCATAAAGTGTGAGCAAGACATGAAAAATAGTGGAAAGCATGTAAATGATTCCCTTTAAGAGAGAAGTAGAGAAAAGAAAGAGAAAGAAAAGAAATAATGGCTATAGCAGTAGGCTTGGTCTCTTCCTTTCTGCGTCAGTTTCATTTTGCAACATACCCCACGATGATATTGAGGAGAATGACGGCCAGGACCACGCCACCTTCGACAAAGTCGTGAATGGCAAAGGACAACGCCATTACGGCGATGAGCACGGCAGTCAAGGCATTGGCAACCTGTTGGAGAAAGATCTCCCAGATGGAGATACCCTTTGCTCCCTTGATAGTGTTTGGGCCGTCCCGAGCCAAGCGGGCGGCGGCCTCCTCGACACTTAGTCCATCTTCGGCGTCGGTTTGGAGGAGCTCAGCAACTCGCCGGGCTGATAGGGTGTGAGGACAATGCGGCTTCTCTATAGCTAATATGTCGGGGGGTTCCGCTATAGGAGGCTGGTCGTCCGGGTTGCTGGAGAGGGTCGACGAGTCCGACGAGGCGTTGGCGTCTTGTGCACCATTCGTGACGACAATAACGGTCTCTCCCATCGAACGGGTATCGAGAAGCTGTTTCCAGCCGGGACAAGACACGCGGTCTTTTTTATTTATATATATAGAATTTGTTTGAGTAAAAGTCAAACGGCTGATCCTCCTTGCCCTTTTCTGGTGGTGGGGGTTGGAGGGGCAGACACGAACGAGAGGGGCAGAGATGAAGATGCAAAAGAAGAGGGATAGAAGGGAAAAGAAAAAAGATTCAAGTTCCTTCAAGATCCGTCTGGCTAACTATACAGGTAGCTATAAGATACAACCTTGTTTAATACAAGACAAAAAAAGAGGCGAAGTGAAGCCTGGGAAAGGCAAAGGGTAGAAGAAGCAGGGGAAGCAAGCATCCCGGAGACAAGAGTGTAGCTTCCCACTCGGCTTTATAATTGATGGAACTTGTATCTTGGCCCAAAGCACCTGGCCGGCCGATCAAACAAGCCAGCAAATCACAGGCGGGCTGGGCAAACAGCACGCCGTTATCAAACGGAGGCGGCGGATAGATAGAAAGACGATATGCAAGGTGTGGAGGGGGGGGGGGGGGAAGAGATGAGAGACCCGATTTCCACTTGGAGACGAAGCCGCAGCCCACCCTGCAGCTTGGAGCTAGTTTCGCAAGGAAGCTGCTTGTGTGTGATATGCCAAGAGACACTATGTGAGGGATGATGCGAGATTGAGTTCATGGTGAGGGAAGTTGCTTTTTGTTTTTTTGGAGAGAGCTTCGTCTTCGTCATAGCTGATTGCTGCTTATCCATCTATCGATAATCGAACACATGTGACTTGATAACCACCAGAGCTACATCTACATGTATTTCCATATCCATATAAAAACCCATTCATTAACACAGCTCTTCTACATCAATCTTAATATCATCAACATCAACATCAACCAACCACAGCGGAATCGATTGACTTTCCCACCTCATTTCCCCTCAGCTTTTCCAAATACTATCCCATCAGGGCACGTGCTACTGCACCCCACGGCACAGCGGCAATCAATCAAACCAACACACGCCCAATACGCCAGCAATCATGTCATGTCACTGCAAAGAAACAACCCTTTTGCCGGGATCTGCCCTCAAGCTAGCGACTCCGTGACCACGGCCCCAGACCAATCGAACGGCAGCTTCATATGCCCCGCCCCCCGGTGATATGGACCCGGAGGGGGATTACAGCAGAGGATAGCATCAATGTGGAGCGTGTCAGTGGCTGCACGGCGTCGTATAGTGGCATCTGGCTGCTGTATTGTATATAACCATGTTGCCATAGCGGGTGCTTAGACATTGTGTTCCAGTCCAGAAACCGTCATAGATTGTGTTTTAGGTTACTTTCGGCCGAGGTCCGTTTCAATTTCTATTTTGCTTCCTCTGAGTTCCCCCATCTCGAGCCTCCCAAATCTCGAATATCATCCGGGGTAGCCCATCAAACCACCACATCCCTCCCCATCTCCAGCATCACCACAATCCTCATCATCTTCATATCAAAACCCCGCACCTCTATGTCTCCAGAAAAAGAAACCACTTTCCTCTATCCAAACGCCAATTCTCTTGGCAGACACACCATTCCCACTACCTCAAAAACCCGGTCAATCTTACGTATCCCGCGCCCGCACTTCCGCTGCCCAAAAGTGGCGGTACACGTGCTCGACGTCTCATCCACACCTTGTCTCGTTCCGTGTTAGTCCGGGCCATCGAATAAAAATGCTGGGCAGACTCAAGTAATACGCAATTTCGACAGCATCGGCACCGGAAGACGGATTTGAGCCACACCAATACTGTACTGTGCAGTCAGACAAAGCGAAACCTTCTCGCTTCCTCGGCCTTGATGGTATAAGTTCATGTAAACTCCATCACATTTAGAGGCAGCACTGTGTCAAAGCAACGCAAAAACGATGAAAAGCTTCACAATCATCAGCTTTCCGCCACAGACCAAGCCACTAATCGATTAAGCATAACTAACCAGGGCACAGCCGGAGCACTTCACCCATGCTCTCTAACACTCATAGGTTCTTGGCTCTTCTCCTCCGTTCTTTCTTGGCTCGACGCGTGTTCACCGTATCATTTACCAGAGGACCAACTTCTAAATCGCAAAACCGATGCTAAGCCTCCCCCTTGCCCCCTCTCCTTGCGTTGGTCTTTTTGTCAAATTACCTCTTCTTGTTCGCTTCTGTTCGGATAAAACTGCACCATGTGATGTCGTTGCTGCATATGGTGTACCTTGGCAATGCCACCTGATACATCAGACAGCATAAAGTGCTCCAAGTACGAAGGCGCAGCCAACCAAACACCAGCGTGCTGGTCTTGCAATCGAGATAGAACGTCGTACTTTCATCCCTCGCATAAAACGAATTCCTTAGGCAACACAAGCCCTCGAGTCTGTCAGTCACCTGTCAAGACGTGTTAAACATCACACCAAGTCCAAGTCACACCATCGTGCACGCAATATTCATGACAAACTTTTGACTTGCTTTCTCCAAGACATTTTCTATCCCAACAAGTTAATGTAGGGCTCTGGCCACTTGCCCCATACCAGCGGTCTATCTCCCAGTCTCCCGCTCACCGGGGCCAAAATCTTAATCTTCCGCCTATCCTCGTCCACGTCCGCCACATAGACAAAGCCCATAACATCAGCCGCGCGAACCACGTCTGGGCTATCACGCACAGAAGCGTTCATAACTGCAAAAGTCCAATGCTGCATGAGAGACGAGGGCTCTTCCGTGACCAAGCTGTGCTTTTCATCAGGTGAATCTGTAGATGCAAACTGTCAATGGCCTGCGTATCGAATAGTAAGAAAGAAATGGTGACTTACAGTCTGCCAGCTTGTAAATGACCAGACTATCAAAGTCGACCTGTTGAATCTGTGGGCTCAACGTCCTCTTTGCGTCTCCAAAAAAGTATTCTTTAATCACAGCCTCGCGCGACTGTTCCAGAAACGCCTCGTCCCTTTCCACTACTCCATCGGATTTGTCAATGGAAACCACCTGTATCGCCTCCCCAAGACTTGTCTTTTCCGTAGCAAACCGGCTCGAGAGTTGAGCGTGGATTTTAGGTGACCCAACCACCACCACAATGTTGACTGCACCCAAGGTATTAGCCGTCTCGTAATTGCAGATCCAAACTGGACTGGCTTACCTGAAAACTCATCAACAATATGTGCCACCAGCTCTAGCCCGAACTGACCGTCCTCGCTGATTCCAATCCCGTCCACAATGACCCCCGACCCCTTGACCTCGTCGTCCTCACTCAACCGGCTGCTAACCGCTCCAGCCAGCCTAGCAATAAGTTCGCGATAAAGATCCTCATCATCCTCCGCAGATTCTCTACCGTAGTTGAACACCATCGGCAACTTGACAGGTATCGTGCTCGGTCCGCTCGTCGGCGTCGACCCCCAGCCGTCCACAGCCTCAGGGTCCATGACCGTCGCAAACACGCTGGCGCTCAGCGTCCCCGGCAGGCTCAGCATGCCCTCCTTGGGATTCGCATTGACCGTAATCACCTGGTATCCCTGGCGCGTCGCATAGCTCGTCAACGTCTTGGCCACCGTCGTCTTGCCCGAGCTAGGCGGCCCAACCACCAGCACTCTAGGCCCCTCGCGGCGCTGTCTGAAGGCGTCAACGCGCATGTCGTTGAGCCGCGCATGGAGATTAACATGCGAAGTCGCCGGGTTCGCAGCCGGATTCGAGTACTCGGCGATAGAGTCATTGTCGCACCGCCCGTCAATCTCCAGCTCGCAGCCGTGCCATGTCAGGATCTTGGACTTGATGCCGGAGAAGGTGTAGGCATTGCGCAGCGGCAATTCGACGCCGTCCTTTTCGGCGGTCCCCGAGAGGACCTTAAGGGTGAGGGAACTGCCCGGGGGCACTTGGAATCGCCATTCCCAAGCCGGACGGAGGGAAATGGTTCGTGTCGAGGAAACGGCCGCCTGGAGAGAGGAAGAAAGTCAAGAGTGTCAGTAGAGTTGATGGCAGTCATCAAACAAACAATTCAGCGGTTTAGAGATTGACCAAGGAGTGACGCACTTGTACCGGGATTTGCCCAAGGCCGGGAATGGACATGGCCGCCTACATAAAGAAGAAAAAAGAACAAGGCTGATGGCGGAGTGTCGCAACTTTTGCTGGAGCTTGAAGCCGAAGCTCGAAGCTCGAAATCGATACTGCCGATACGTACCGACAAGCGCAAAGCGGGAACCAGTGCGACGTGTGGGTCTCTAGCTTTGTGGTAAAAGATACAGCCTTGATCAGCTAAAATGCCATACCGTGAAAGGTATCCGCTAACATGCTTGTGAATCGCTGCTTATTTTGAGGCCAACGGCCCGCTGACGTCTTCCAGCATGGCGCTAAGAATTAGATTCCAGCTGGGCTGCGTTGGTGCCCAGATCTTGCATCAAAGGTGATCGTTAGGCATATATAATTCTTTCTGTTTGAGTGATGAGGCAACCTAAAAGTAAATGTCGAGTGAAATAGTGAGAGAAATATGTGTGAGAAAATGTGAAAGCTTCTATCGCTGTATATTGTTTTGTACTTGGACAGACGACACTATTTTCTAAACGACTTCATGTATAATCCGTTCCATGCATGCAAACCACATCTCGGTTTCCATCCAAGCCCCTGAACTCCATCAAATAAAAAAGTTCAACATAAAAGTAATAAAGACGTAATGAAAGCAAAAACCTCCCGTTGCGCCTAGGCCGTCGTATAGTCATTATAGGCAGTAAAAAAGACACATAATCTCCTCCCATCCCATCTCCATGCGGAGCCGAGCTCTACCTTTCAAAGTTTTGTTCCAAACCAACGTAACACCACAAACACCTAGTTTTGGGCATTGTCTCTCTGTTTTTTCCCTTCATCGTCATTTAGACTTCTTTGGGGTATCAGGAAAGATTCTCCTTCCAAAAGATATAAATATTGCCCACCCTTTATTTGTTCTTCTTTGCAAGAGGATGCAATCAAATTCCCACAACGCCGGTAGCCACTCCCATCATTCCAAATGGGGTGCGGTCTTGTTGTATATACAGGTACAGACACGGGGAAAGCGACCAATAAAAGAAAGCCATGCCATCGTGCATGAGTCTAGTCATCTTCGCCAGCCAGCTCTTTGAAAATCCGCAAAAGACTTCTGACTCCAGTAAGGGTATTCTCGTCGGGCCCGTGGCCAGGGGTAAAGTTTGCGTGAGCAAAGTCGATGAGTTTTAGAGTGTAGATTTGAGGCAGTTGAAGGTCGTCCTCGTCCTCGTCTTCATCTTCAAAGTCGTCTTCATCCTCCAAGACGATGCCGCTGTCCATTCGGTTGTCTAGCCTCATGTTTGTGCGCTCGACCGGTGGGCAGGTGTATGACTCGGCCGAATCACGCTCCAAGATTTCGTTGTTCTTTTCAATCGCAGAGGCGAGCGCATCGCCGTCGCCCTCGAAGATGAAGAGGAGAGACGACGAGTACATGCGGGTCTCGTGACTGGCCAAGACCTGCTCGATGCGCTGCAAATCTCGCACAAAGGCGGAACACACGGCTCTGCCTAATTCTTGGTCGACGCCAGCAGCCTTGTTGAAGACGAATTTCCGAAAAGAATCGACAACGTTGTCGTCGTTGACTGTCAGCTGGCCAAAATCCTTGTCGTAGATTGTGTAGCCTTCGTCGTCCCACGTGGACTCGTCCTCTGAGCCTTGATACACTCGCATGCCGGATATGCGGAAGCCCAGCTTTCCGTGCGTCGTTTGCGACGAAATTGTGTCAAAGCGCTTCTTCTTCTCGGCAGGGGCATCATCAGCCCACAGCCGGACGCCAAGCTTGACGTCGAGAATGTTTGCCTTTTTGTAGCCAAACGAGGCGTTTTCCAACACCACTGACTTGTCCGTCTTAATCTTCTTGCCCTGTGTAGGAACCCATGTGGTCTGGTCGGAGGTGGCGTCAGGGGCGACTTTTGCGACGTGTTCTGCGATTGTCGCGGCAATCTGCTCTTTGGTGGTCTTGAGGTCGCCGTTGCCCGCGATGACTCCCATGAGCCCATCGTCAAGGGGCACCTCTTCGGGGTTGCTTAATCGCAGCTCGCCCATGAAGAGGGGCATGATGTCGGCAAACTCGCGATAGCCTTGGGTCTCGACGGCTTGGTAAAAGTCGATCTCGGTCTGCGTGCACGGCTTGATGAAGAGCTCGCCGTCGGCGTCGCACAAGGTGCCCGCACTGTTGTCACGCGAGAGGGATGGGTTAGCATACACGATCACGATGGTATGAGACAAGTCTCTTCTTCTGCTTCCTCTGTCTCTTCCTCCTTGCGCGCACGCATCACAGACAAAGGCGCGGGATCACTCACTGTCCGGCAACGGCGTAGTTGTAGTCGCGGAGCTGGTCCGGCGTGGGAATTCTCTTTTTTCCACCCATGGCTGTGATGTCCTGGTCTTGATCCAGGTCTTTCTTCTTCTTCTCTGTCTTTCTACTTTCACTCAAAGTAGGTATGCAGAATGTTTTATAGAGTGCACGGGAAAAGGGTCGTGATTGGCGCCGAAATAGGGCACGCCTGCAGGCTGCAAGATGACTCGGGTTTCAAGGACCGCCGCAGTCACAGGAATCGCGCAACCATGTCGAGCATCGGAAGGAGAGGCGCTGAGTCAGGGCAGAGGCTCGAGGTTTTATGTATGGGAGGAATCGCTAGAGTAGAGTAAAGGAGCACAGAGGAGAGGAAATGGAAAAAATGCCTTGTGGCAGCGCCAGTTAGTGAATCGGATTGAAGCTTGCAGGTGAACAGACCAGACAAAACAGAGTGGCGGCTTCTGACCGACTCGCTCAACTGCGACAAAAGCACAAGCACAAGCGCTGTGCTGTTTCCCGCCACCAGGCCCGGCTCGGCATAGCCTGCGGGTTGCACGCCTTAGCGCCCTCTTCACCCCATTACAGCAGGCCATAGCCCGCTAGCCGGAGCCACAGGCGTCCACAGGCGTCTTTTGACCCCCAAGCAATTTGTCGCCCCCCCTTGCCTGGGCTGCTGGTGCTGAGCCACACAGACCAAATTCAGCGCTTTTCAGCGCCGGCCAATCGCAGCCGCTATGCGTGTGAGATCTTGGTAAGGCGCACTGTTGGGTTGGGATGGATTCCTCACCTTCCACGCGGCAAAATGCACGTAATGGCATGGCATAGACTAGCATGGCATGGCAAGGAGCGATAACGAGAGCGATTGCGGATGGAAGGATTTTGACAGATTCTTTGACGGGATTCCATATCCCCGTCCGGTATAAAGCAGTTGCTGCCTCTACAGTTAGTACCTGTAGCCATCTTACAGGGGGGACCCGGAGATAGAGTCACCGAGTGAGCGTGAGCTCTTCAGCTAGCTTCAGGCCGGCCATCATCATCCTCTCAGCCTCTCAGCCTTTCCAGGTCTCTTTTACTCCCCTCAAATCATTTGGTTGCATGTTTCTCTCATGCTCAGTTCCCTCTCCCCTCTCCGACCACGTCTCCAGTCCCTTGTCTCTCCTCAGCCCAGCTCGATATCATCTCGCTTCTGCGTACATGTACTGTGTGCCCGTGATTCGATATGTTTGCTCAACTGCATTCAATGACATGCAACAACTAATGCTAGCACTAGGTAACCAGCCGTTGCACCGCTATCTTCCGCGTCAACAGCGGGTCAATCTCCAAATTCACGGCCGTCTTGTTCACCTATGTAATGCTCTCTTGTTTTTTTCACTCCCGCGTGACTCTTTAGCACGGACATGTCCAACCACATGGTGCCAATGCTGCGTCAAACCATTCACTTACATGCCAATACGTGTCAGCGCCAGAACCACAGCCACGCCCTCATCCTACAGAAGCACAGAGAGCAAAAGTAGGTCATCTGGGAGTTGATAGAATCCAGTGTCACCACCTACAGCCCATGTCCATGCCTTGCCTGTACTCTACATACCATGCCTACACATGCAATCAGGGTCCATGTATGTGACCAATACAGGACAACTCCTTTGTCATTCACAGCTGTTTCCTGACCAAAATAACACCATCAGCACTCCATGTCTTTTTTTCTCACAACGGTAAATAGCGCACTGACAGCCTGCTGCAAGGAGCAGGGCTCCAAAGGCTGAGCCTCTCCAACCCTATTAGCCGCTGACACCTGCATCGCGAGGCTTGCTCAGCCCTCTTGGAGCCCGGAGCAAAATTAGGCACGATACGAACAAGAGGCGCCCGGTTGGCTTGCAAGCGCAAACACTAAAACGGCTATTCCATGCAGAGATAAGATCTATGACGCAGTCAAGATACTATTTTGTAAGGTTCGGTATGTACGGGATATAGTATCCATGTAGTAGTCCACCTTAGCAGGCACATGTCTGTAATCAGCTTGGTACACGTCTTCAGCTCGACAGCAGAGTCGCCTACATAGGTATGGCAAGGTACCTATGGATAGACTGTTCATTTTCTGTGTTCCAACCTGTATAATGACATATACCTAGTATGCAGTATACATGTATTCAGCATGGCCACAAGCTGGTCAATAGGTAGGCCAGTGGGGGCATTCACATGTAGAGCCGTGAAGCATAAAATTAAACTCAGGGCATGATGATGACAGTGGAAACACAAATCATGGAATCATATTCCACACGATTCTTATCAACCGAATTTTCAACTCAACAACGACATCGGTGTCGACTAACCTACGTGTATCCAGCCACGAAGCAACCACAGAGAAACTCGGTTACACAACCAATGGGGACCGCGTGCCTCTGCCTATCCCATGATCACATTCCAAATCTTCGAGAGCTCTTCACGTCTTCGCTTCGCGGACAACTAAACCAACATGCTCGCACAATTCTCGCCAAATTACATGTATGTGGTTGGACCACGCTAACAGGTCCAAGCGTGTACAGCCTCAAGATGGGCATCCACGCTGGTTAGTCCAAAGATTCGTCAAATTAAATGATTTATGAGTGAATAGGCTGGTTTCGACACTGGAAGCTGCCCAGAGCCATGTGAACCAACACAGATGTACGTGCGTTTAGATTACATAAAAGTTGTATACATCAATCCGGGTAACATTGCCGAGAGATTGTTGGCCTCTAAAAGCTGAAAGGTACAGGAGAAATCGAATTAAGTGTCCGGCTTCACAATTTAACATTATGTCTCCCTCTTCAGCACAAAATATTATAATTTGTGTATAACACTCAAATTTCCTAGATTACATATATATATATTCAATCCATCGGGACTTTGTCAATCTCAAATCCGAACTTATAAATGCGGCTCCCCTGCCAGTTCTTAAACCTGCCAAAGGCATCACGGTCAACATGCTCATGTTGCCCAGTAAACGAATTGGTTTGGTGGCCGTTCCACTCATATTTAAAACCATGATCTTTGAAGAATTGCTTTCCGAGAGTGTCAACATGAACTTCGGCGGCATCAGATTCTTCAAGCAGTGCGTTGAAAACATTCTGCTTGGCGCCTGCGAGAGCTTGTTGCTCTACAGCATCCCAATTTCCACGGACCTTGCCGGAGTAGCCACCTTGAGAATCAGTCCATTTAGTAAAGGTGGTCGACATCGTATAGTAGCTTAGGGATTCAACAGATTAAGAAAGGGGTGCTGATTTCTCAGGAATAGAATAAGATATTCAGAGTTTGCACACTGCTAACCAGAGTGTTAATAAGACCTCCAAAAACTAATCTCACGTTCGCGCATTTTGACTCTTATTTATACTTCATCACACAGCTAAATTACTAATGCAAAATCCAGCTTCTCACAAGGAATCTAAAGCTAAGATAAAGCTTTTGGATACAGAATGTATAGCTATATGAGTAGTTACCTAATAGAAAAAGCATTAGGTTTTCGTACCAAGAACAAAGTTATCTTAAAATTGCCTACATGACACAAGTGCCACAACAACTACTACTACTAAGTTGCTGCCAGCATTCCGTTGCACCTTCAGCTTTTTCAGCTTTTTCATCTCATACTTATTTTTGTGGAGATATCAAACAGACGTTTACCAGCATTCCGTTATACCTTCCCTTGTGGCTACCTACCTGTAATAAAGTCGGACGCTTATTTCAGCTTTTCACTGTAAGTAAGATTTCTGATAATGAACAAGTAAATCGGGTTCAAGTCCAAGGAAATACGCGCGATCATATATCCGATAACATGTAAATCGTGATTAACTTGAACGGCACGAGACATCCAAGCCGATTGTTTACCAATGGAAGCAGTATATACTAGATAGACAGCATGGCAACAGAGGCTATGAGAATATGGTAGCAGCATCAGATACTTGAGCAGGAAGATAAATACGCCTGAAATGAGCAACAAGAGCAACCAACTATGGTGTAATCTCGCAAGTTCAGCTTCATTATTGCTTTTTATGCTTTTCGCCTATTGTTTCTCAATTGGTACTGTTGACATCCAACACCAACCACATTATATGTATCCTATTCACATTTTTATGAATGCAGCATGCATCACCAACAAGAAGGATTTCCTTTTTTTCTTCCCGTCATCTCGTCACAATCCTTTTCGTATTCTCCTTTTTGAAAACATGCCACCCAAACCGGAGCTTGAACGAATCACTCATGACAGCGGCTGGATAAAGCAGGCAGCAGACAATCAGACATCTCCTTAAGTCCGCGAATCTCAGCTTGAGTGATGCGGAGCCTCAGGGTTGAGTTGCTTTCTCCCCGTGGCCGCCAGAGTCTAGATTCGACGGCACATCATCCGAGTCTAGAACACTGTTTGTTTGGTGGTGTTTACGGTGAGCCGGCTTAGCGTAAAGTCCTCTTCGCCTACCTAACACGCATCAACGAGCTCCAAGATATCGTTGGATCGTGTGTTGTTTGGCCATCACTTCCACCGGCATCTTGTATTATTATTCCACTCATCAATATGCAGTATATCACATCTCACGCAGAATGCGTAGCTCAATACCATTCATTCAATTATTCATTCATTCACAAACAACTATAAAGATCTCCACGATCCCTCAAAGCCAGATATTTTCCCAACATCATCTCCAACTTCACCCTCAACATCATCAATTTACATCCCCCCAGTAACCACATAACTCACTCATCATGCCCTCCATCCTCACATCCGCCCTCTCCCTCCTCTTCCTCACCTCCCACCTCCCCGTCGTCCACGCCGGAAACTCCAAATTCTACCTCGACCAACAAAACTGCGCCGGCGGCACCTACGTCGACTTCGACATCCACGAAGTCCACAAATGCTACGGCCTCACCTCCGGCACTGCAGCATCCTTCTACACCGACAAGGGCAACGAGCTGGACTACGTCAAGGTCTACCGAAAGGACAAAGACCTTAAATGCGGCAAAGAGGAGTGCAGCGTCAAGCAGGCTCACTCGTGCTGCTCGTCCAAGAAGAAGCAGATTACGGGGATCCAGGAGGTGCGCTTTATTGAGCCTTGTTCGCCTTTGCCGCATTGTAAGAGGCAGGCAGAGCTCCAGGAGCAGGCTGGTAGCCAGAGTAAGTGTTTTTTTTTTCGGCACCTTACTAGTGGACATTTATTTACTGATCGTGATGCAGATTGCACGAGCGTTGATGAGATTGGCGAGCCCTTCATTGAGCTTGGCGATGGAACGCATTTTGGCCTCGGCGTTGGAACGCTGGGAAAGTTCACTGCGGATGAACTTCAGGAGCATCTTGAGGCCAGTGGAAAGGAGAGGCTTCCGGCAGAGCAGATTGCGAACCTGATTCAGCTCAAGGTCATCAGGTTTCTTATTTAGACAGTTAGTTACCCAATTTCAGGCTTGAGAATATGACCAAGCCTTGATGGGGGTAAAGCCTGCAGTGCATCACACATGTAAATCAGTGCCACTTAACGGCCGAGTGCTCAGTTAGCTATGCAAATATCTCAAATGAAGTCAATCACAAACGGCAAAAAGAGTTTGTAAAAGTACTAAAGGTGGACAACGCTTCGAGTCGTGAAAGCATCTCAGTCTTGAATTAGATTCGCATTCTAGAATTATGTCAAAGACCACCTCCTTATCCAAGATAACCGCTAGGTTCATGATTCAACCCCTATTCTTTCCCATCGTAATCAGCCGATAAACTCCATGCAAATACACACAATGCACCCCCAATATGTAAAACTGTAAGAAAGAGCTTCTCTTCTGCCCCAACATGTGATTCCATACGACATGTGTCCCCCTTTTAACCCCAAGTACCACCACCACCACCCCTTCCACCCCTCTTCTGAGCGCTGAGTCTCCAGTCGTCTTCTCCGGCAAATTTATTATACAGTGGCTGAATTCTTTCAGCTTGCTTCCGCTTGCTTAGTCTATCTGTCGGCGCCACCTTGAAGAATGTCGGGGCTGCCTCAACAAGCCATTTCGGCTCGATGCTCGTCGTGCAGTGCATGTATTCCTTTGTCGTCAACACGAGCGTATGGTAAATGATCCATTCCGCTTGCTTTCCAAAGAGGGCCGAGCTAGGATGAAGGTACACGGGCGTGCCCTCCGTGAGAGTCTTGTATCCTTCTTGGGGATCCTTGCGTGCTGCATTGCGGAAGAATCCCGTGCAGAGAGCCTGCCGCACCTTTTGCGTGTCACGTCCACAAGAGACGACCGGATGTTTATAGCGCTCCATGATCTTCATAAGCTGATCTCGGACATCCTTGGCACGACGCATTGACCGCGCCTGGATAAAGTTCTCAAAGCACCAGGGGCTAGAGTACCCGCTATGTTTCCAGGCGTTGTATACGTTGAGAAGCGTCAGGTGGTCTCCGTGAGGGTCGTGGAACTTGGACTTTTTCTGATCGGCCTGCGACTGCTTTTCCTTGGGGCGGTAAAATACGTTGGGCAAGTTGAGCATGGCTACAATGCTGAGCATTTCGTCAGAGCATTGATGGTCAACAGCAGCAATGAGCACCTTGGCCAGTGACGGCTCCATGGGAAAGTCTGCCATCTTTCGTCCCAGACGAGTTAGCAAGCCTTCGTCGTCTAGTGCGCTCAAAGCGTACAACTCTTCAAGGGCTGTCAACATGGTGTTGATAGGCGGCGGATCCATAAAGTCGAAATGTAAGAGGTCATTGATACCCATTGCCTTGAGCATCAAAATAGTGTTTGCCAAATTTTGTCGCTGAATCTCAGGAATGGTTGTTGGCAACATTTCTGACTGGTAGGCGGCCTCTGTATACAAACGGAAGCATTTTCCAGGACCAGTTCGACCGGCTCGACCGGCTCGCTGGTTTGCTTGCGCCTGGGAGATGGGCGTAACAACCAGCGAGTCCATTCCGAGCTTGGGATCATAGGCATTTTGCTTGACAAAACCAGGGTCAACAACGTAGTAAATCTCGTCAATGGTAATGGACGTCTCGGCAATATTCGTGGCAATGACAACTTTTCGACTTCCAGGGGGAGCAGGTTCGAAAATTCGGCTCTGCATCTCGCTCGGAAGCTGTGCATATACAGGTAGGATAAGCAAATCCGGTACGCTCGGCCCAAGCGCTTTCATTCTCTCATATAAAATCTCGCACGACGTGTCGATTTCTTCTTGGCCAGTCAAGAATAGAAGAATATCACCCTTGGGTTCTGTTAGATGAATCTGCATGACTGTGACAAGCGCAGCATCCAAGTAATCAGATTCAGGCTCGCGAGAATACAAAATTTCGACGGGATACGTTCGGCCCGGGATTGTAAAGATAGGACATTCGTTGAAGTAGGCGGAAAACTTGTCGGCATCAAGAGTGGCTGAAGTAACAATGACCTTCATGTCGGGTCGTCTCTTGAGTGCTTTTTTCAATAGCGCAAACAAGACATCCGTGGAAATGGTTCGCTCGTGGGCCTCGTCAAGCATAATGCACGAATACCGCTTCATGTCAGGGTCCATGAGAATCTCTCGCTGTAACATACCGTCCGTCATGTACTTGATCCTGGTGGCAGGGCTGGTGCAATCATCGAAACGAACATTGTATCCAACCTCTTCGCCAAGCTTGCAGCCAACTTCTTCCGCCACACGCTTCGCAACGGACATGGCGGCGACACGACGAGGCTGCGTACAGCCAATGATGCCGTTATCTGCGAATCCGGCCTCTGCGAGATACTGAGTCAACTGAGTTGTCTTTCCCGAGCCAGTCTCTCCAACCACAATCAAGATTTGGTTCTCCTGCACTGCCTTTATCAGCTGCGAGCGGAACGCAAAGACGGGCAGAGACTCTCGCTGCTCCTTGATACTGAGGTTGGTACGCTTGCCCAACGACTGTCCCTTGGGAATAACTGCCCTCTTCCACTCAGGCTCTTCATCTGTCCTGGTGTTCATTCTCGCATGCTTTAGATCGCTGGCAAATTTGCGCTTATCGGGATCAGCCATTGGATCATTCCATTGATTTGACAGGTCTTCTTTCGATTCCTCCTTGGCGGCTTCTTCAGCCTCCTTTTGTTTCAACTCTTTTCTCTCCTTGGCAAGCGTTGTTCCTGCCATGGCGGCTCTGTTCATGGATCCATCAGGGGCCTTGACCACTCGGATGGGAGAAAGCTCCAAGGACTGTTTGGTCTGGCCAGCCAAAAACGGCGGTTCCTCGTCTCGAACTTCAATGTCAACATCCTCCTCCAGCTCCAGCTCGCCCTCGCCACGCAGCGTCGCATTGTAATCCTCCTCGAGATCGGGATAGTCTGAGGCCTTTGCCACTCCGGATGCAATGAGCTGTCTGATTTCCCATCGTTCTGGGGACGTCATTCGTTTCTTGTGTCGTCTTGGGGGGCCCAAAGAATCGCGAGGCATTGCGGGGGCAGCATCGACGAAACCATTTCTTCCACCGCCGCCAAGCGCCTCCATGTTTGCACCAGTCGTCAATCTCGCCTGTGGTTCAAGATCTCTGCCGTCCACCTGGTCGACATCCTTCATGGACAGTCCTATCCTGTGGCCCTCGATGCTGACAACCTTGACCCAGACTTGCTGCCCGCTGGAGAGGAGATCTGAGGGGTGAGTCACCCGTTGGCCAGATACAATGCGAGAAATGTGGACCAATCCGTCAACCTTCCCTCTGACGTGGTGCAGGTTGACAAAGGCACCAAAATCTTTGATTCCAGTGACATGGCCTTGGTAGATCTTGTTCATGATGGGCTGGTCATCCACCTCGGGTGCAGGAGCGCGGCTGAAGTCGTCACGATCGATGTCGTCGTCGTAGTCGTGTCGTCGTCGGTTTCGCGATTTCCTAGACTCTCGGAATCCATCCCGCCAGTCTTCATTGCCGGCGTCCTGCGACCGTGACCGCGACCTGTACTTGTCCCGCTTCCGCCGATCTCGAGATCTTGATCTATGCCTCCGTGACCTTGACTCTCTGTGCTCGTCTTCTGGGCTTCTGCTCCTCTTTCTAGACGCCTTCTCTTTCTTGGCCTTGCCCTCTAGCCCTTCCAGAAGCGCCAGTGTATCATCGATAGCGTCCGCTCCGTCGTTGTAGCCGGGTGTCTTGTCAGGCATGGCAAGACCGCTAAAGACCTTTTCGTTCTCCTCAAACGTCCGATGGTGATGATGCTCGTCGTGGTGTGCATCTCCATTTTGTCCTTTGAACTTGGGATGCATCGCCACCACCAGACGATCTAAACTGTCGATCAAACTGGGCGGGAAGTCGGCATTGAGCCCGTCGAGCCTCTTGCGGAAGTCATCGCTAGATTTGCTCTCGAGACGCTGTGCGATGAGGAACTCGGCGAGGGTCTTGTCACTGATTCCAACATGGTTCTGGAGCTCAGAGGTGACCTTTGAAACGAGAGACAGAAGCTCGAGATTCAAAAGATCGTCCATGTTTGCGGGTTGGAGTCCTGCAAGGCGCAGGATTGAAAGTTGGTGAATTAGGACATGAAGACGCGCTAATGGCAAGGCTGCTGCTTGGTAGTAGAAAAGTTCCAAGGTCAGCCCCCACTGACCGAGGCTAAATATCGGGAGAGATTCGGTGAGAGGAGGCTTGACCGAGCGAGAGTGTGGCCCAGTTTTATCTAGGGACGGCTTAATGTTTATATAGAAGCGTGTCATGTCATGCGATTTCCATTGCATGAAAGCTGCATAAGCTAGGGATGCATCTTGCAGCAGGAATACGAGGCGGTGATTCGACTGATACGTATTGGATCATGAATCATTCTGTAGTGACTCTTCAATACCATCCAAAGGAAAAGGGATGATTAGTACTAATGGAGCGATGCCCTCACTTCACTCAAAGGGTACGGTAGCATTTGTGCCACAGCATAGCCTTTAGGGTGCTTAACTGGATTGGATGAAGTGTGTGTGCCTATGTGAGTGATTCGGTGGTGACTCAACTCCAAGGGCCAGGCTGCAAGCAGGCACACCGCACTTCCAATATGCCAGAAACTTAGTTGTATATTTAAAAATTGAAGCGGTCATGTATCATCTGTGAACAATAGTGACAGCATCAGTATGTCTTCATTCAACAAGATCAGCTACATCTCCAACAACTGATGTTCAGTCTTCTCTCGGATCTACCCTGTAACAAACCACCCCAACGTTAATTTTTTAGTGAGTCCTACAGCCTCTCCCTTCAGTGGCTTAGTACATGTACCTTTGCCTCCTCCTAAACTCAGCCAATCACAGCCCCATCTTCCGCCCCATCATTACGCAACCCCATTCAATAAGCAGCTCCAAGCATCGTCATCATCCGTCACAAGCCCACTTCGCGCTCTTTATCATTTATCCTTCCCTTCTGGTAGGGCGAGAAAAACCGACGAACCAAGAGACCCTTGATTTCTTCTTGTTCTTCGCCTGTACTCCATCTTATTACTAGCGATAGACTCAACTTCAGACCTCGATTCTCTTGTCATCACCAACAAAAGCCAGTCATCCATCATCATGTGCTCTGCCGACATCTTCCTCGGCGTCCTCGCCATTCTCTTCCCCCCGCTGCCTGGTAAGTCGCATCGCATCACCCCACCATCTACGCATCATCGTCTGCTTTGCGGCTCTGTCTGCTGTAAAATATCTTCGCTCGCTTGTTTGCCTGTTTGCCTGTTGCCTGCCTGATGGACTCACTAACCGTCGTCTCTAGTCTGGGTCAAGTGCGGCATCTGTAGCGCCGACTCCCTCATCAACATCCTCCTCTGCATCCTCGGCTTCATCCCCGGCCTTCTCCACGCCTGGTACATCATCGCAAAGTTCCCCGAGCCGGCGTACGAGTACGAGGCCATTCCCAACGAGCACGGAGGCGGCCGTGTCACATACGTCTACGTTCAGACGCCCCATGCCGCTCACTGCCAGCAGCCCAAGCCCCAGGAAGAGCAGGGCCGCATGAACTACGGCACTACCTCTCGGCCTGAGCAGCACCCCAGCCCTTCTCCCCGGCCTCAGCAGAACGGTGGTGCAAACTCTGGAGAGGGCAGCTCTGATCCTCAGGGTGTTCCTCCTTCGTACGCCGAGGTTGTTGCCGGCGACCACAAGGTCCAGACACGCGATTAAACGGGAAAATGCAGTTTGTCGCCATCAGTCTACCAGACTATCCAACAATCCCAACGGATACAGATGCGGATCCATATAACAGCGCGGCGATACAAATATATATCATGCTGCAAACAAAGGTCGGGTGGATGGAGAGTAGAGGAGATGATGCGTTGCCCCTTTAGCTGCTCTTTGTTTAGATATCTGGGCTTTTCTCTTTTCTCAATTTTTCCTTTTCCTTTCTTAGTTCTCTTTCTCTTTCTTATTATGTACCACACAAAGCGTTGAATTCACGAACATGTCATGATTAGGATCAAAGGGTTCTGCATTGTTTCTCTATGCGGTAGGAAGAGACGGCGTTATGGCCGAACTAATAGTCCTGTGCTACTTATAATAAAACTGATCAAACCAATCCAAGGCAATGAAATGTCCCGTATGTTTATTCCTCCGCTGGTTGACTGTCTTCCGCCGTAGGATTGTGCACTGATGGCGCAGCGCGGTCATTTTGTTCCGGAACCCTGAAGTGTACCATCAACTCTTGCGCAAGAAACGTGTAGAATGAGGGGACAATCTTGCGAATGCGCTTGACGAAACGAACGTCAGCCCCAAGTTCGCAGATCTCCAACGTCATTTTCATGCCTGGTTTGAGGTTGACAAGGATGTTTTGCTCGAAATACAGATCGATCTCCTTGCCCTGTAGAGGATGCTGTATGTCCGGCTCGACCCATCCGTCTTCAATAACGGCAGGTTTGAGAGTGAGTTTGCCTAATGGCATGAGTCGGATCTTTTTGTTGCCGTCTGTAGTGATGGCCAGCTTCTGGAATCGCTCAATGAGCTCTTTGGTTGGGAGATTGACTTTGGTTATCTCTAGAGTGCATTCATATTGGTTGACAAGCTCCACGGCGTTACCAACAAGATGTTCAAACACCTTGATATCGCCTAGCATGGTGATAGCCGAATAGAAGACAGACTTCGCATCGAATCCTTCAGGAATCTGAAACAAATCAAGGGCCCATGCATCGGGATCAGTCTTCGAGAACAGCTCTGTCGCAGCAAAGTTGAAGAGACCCGGAAGTGCGGTTTGCAAAGAATTGAGCATTGGCCATTCTTCTCTAGCCATCAGACAGAAATTCAGTGCCTCCTTGACATTCTCTTCATACTCGGGACAGACATCATGATGGAGAACATATCGAAGGAAATTCTCAATCACATCTATCGCATCTTCCATTGTTCCAGTCTGAAGACCGGTCAAGGGAATGATTGCTCTGGAGAGGAAGCCTGCTGCCACGCCGGCAAAATCGACCGTCCACTTGGTTTCGTCACCGTTGTAAAAGCGGTCACCACCACCAGAACCTTCATAAACGACGTCTCTTGCCGTGGCTTCGCGACGTTGTGCAGGCGTGAGTTGTTTGAGTTCTCTTGGATCAAGTCCAAGATAGGCGCCTTGATTCGTGTCCACGCCGCCGAGGAAGAGGTAGTCGTCGAAGTAGGTGGTTCTCGGGTATTGGATGCGGCGGCGGGAGCGGAAACGCTGAACGCACGACTGAATCCGTCTAGATGGCGGTGTACCAGGTTAGCTGAACTGAAGCGAGAAGAGAGAAGGGGTATTCGAATCGTTGGTTATACCTTTCAAAGGAAATGTCTCTGTGAATATATGTTAGCTTCTAGAGTTGCCCAAGATGCCGTTGGAAGGTGCTTACGGAGAATATATCTCTTGTTTCTCCTCCATGGCTTCATCAGGAGTCATGGGAGGGTCGGCAAAATACTCTATCGTCGTTTAGCATCGAGCCACCATTGAATAAGCTGTGGAAGAGGAGGTGCCATACCTTCAAATCCATTGCCGCGATTCTTGGGCAATGCAAGTGGACCCCTGCCGGCTGTTGTTTTCTTATTCTTTCGTTTCTTCTTCGTGGGCGCTGAGAGTTGAGCAGGATCAATGGCGTCATCTACAGCGTCTTCGACCGCTTCCTCTTCCTCGGCTACCTGCCTAGCTTCTGTGACCGAAAGGGACGGGATCGAGATCACACTGTCGTCCACGTCAGGCTGTGGTTCGATGGCTTTGCCACCATCGCCGTCTGGAGCTGCAGCGGAATCCATCTCTGGCAGCATCACAAGATGAGGCCGGGGAGTTGCTGCGAGGAGGAGAAACGAAGATGGAAAATTGCGGGAAGAGGGAAGAGGAAGAGGAATAGCAAACAGAAGAGAAGAGGTTGGCGAGTTGTTGCCTGAGGAGAGCGAGTGAAGGCGGTGGCAGGTGCTCAACAGCTGGTTTACGCTGGCACCGCCGAATAGACGATAATTTGCATCAACTACCTGAGACAGAAGATTGATACATTCCACCATTTCACAATTGATTACAACTAGTTAATGTTCTAGGTACATCTATTCTTGCCATGTCCATGCAGCAAGGCAAGCTGCTGAATGCCCTTTGCCGCAATTCTGCATGTATCCTCTCCTGGGCAGAGCCTTGACTCTGGCCGAGAGATGAGCTACGAGTCTTGGAGAGAACGCAACTCAACTTCTAACCAATCTCTACAAAACACCGATGCAGAGGCAGACAATAATCTGTAAATTAGTTCGCAATGATGCACAAATATGACATGTTTTACTGCCTTTACTTTTCAGAGGACAGGTCTTGGAGTCAGTGTCCTACATATCTTCAGTTGTTATGAAGCGCCTCCGTCAATGTGAAGAGATTGCACGGCTGAGTAAGTGAATGGCCATTCAAATTGTGAGAGGACTTGTCCGTGAAAATGAGCTCAACACTTAAGACTACCTACGGTAAACATACATGCAAGCATCTCAATTAAGCTACTAGTGACCATGTAAGAGCCACATCGCACTGCCCATGAGTGCATCTCCTTATGCCAAGTCGCCCTTCTTCAATAATCTAGAAGGCACTGGGTCATGTATTTTATTTTAAAACTTCCTGTATCAACCCAAAATGGGTTCGTTATTAGCCAATTTCGCCTCATACTCACAACCGCTCTTGAGGCGCCCGCCACGTAAACGGGACATCACCGAGCCAGCCACGGCTGAAGCGGTCCGTCCAACTAATTGGCTAAACGTTCTAGCCTAGGTCCTGCTGAAGAGGCTGATGAATTCCAGATGAAATGGTGTATAATTTGGGATAATTTACTCGCTCAATTATTACAAGCAACATCACGAATATGTGAGATTCTGCAGACACGCTTCCATTCGATTGCAACGTTGTCCAATTAGATTACTCGACGATTAATCCATACAAAGATTCATCTGTTATAACGTTCAAATCAAGAATCAAGCACCATTAGTTCTTTTGAGCACCTCACTTCATCCATTATGACCATTAATCACCAACATATCCCGCAAAAGAAAAAAGCAAGGAAAAGAGAAAAGCACAGGGTGATGCGACTGAGAGATCAATTTAAAAAGAAGTAACTAACGCCGTCGTGTGTCGAGTAGACAAGCACATTAATTAGTAGGACTGTGTATGCGTAATTCTCCTTTTGCCCTCGTAGTAATTGTCGACTCATTCCTCCCTTCACTTCCGCTCCGTATCAAGTCCTCCGCCCAACATAAGAAATAGATAGAAGTAGTTCCAGAGACAGGTGTTTACAGCATCAAGACGGCAGCGGCAGCACCGAGGATAGGAGCCAGCAGCTTGGCATCAGCAGTGGGGGCAATGGCCAGACCGGTAGAGGTAGCAGTGGTAGCAGAGGTTCTGGTGGTGACGCGAGTGGTGGCAGAGCGGGTAGTAGCAGGAATGGTAGTAGCAGGAATGGTAGTAGCAGCCCTGGTGGTCTCGCTGTTGGTGGTTCCGGGGATGGTAGTGGCAGGCTCTGTGGTGGCAGACTCTGTGGTGGCAGACTCGAGAGTGGTTTGGGTGGTGGTGGTGGCAATGGTAGTTGTCAAGGTGGTCTCACTGCTGGTGGTTGCGGTATTGGTCTCGCTGGAGGCGACGGAAGAAGCTTCTGAGCGGATGCTGCTGGCGACAGACGAGGCCTCGGAGCGAATGCTAGAAGCAATGGCACTGCCAGAGGCAATAGCAGACGAGACGGCGGCAGACACAGACGAGATCAGAGGCCCCTGGGCCATGGCTTCTCCGGACAGGAGGCCGAGGGCAGCGACAACGAAAGTTTGGGGCTTCATGGTGAACGATTGGATGTCTTTCTTCGTCTGGTGTAGGTGGAAGCGAGAAAGAAGAGAAGGAGGAGTGCGAGTGGACGCTTGGTGAACGGATGACCTATATGCTGGTATTTATATATGTGTATATATATGAGCCGCGCGGGAGCAAAGGGAGATGAGTGAGCGAGAGATGTATGGATCAAAACAGAGGGAGAGCGTCAGCCCTTTAAAGCGGCCTGGACCTACACACCTCAACTCAACCTTTACGAGTACATTCCCTCTCCCTTGCCCAAAAAAAGAAAATTCATGCAACAGCCACAGCTGGGGGATCCACGGGGCGATGAGGAAAAGAGAGACACACAACAATCATACACACAGTGTTGACGTAGGCAAGGGGGCGTTCTCTGGACACGGGGTACTCGAACGAGTAGATCCCCGTATACATTCGCGGTGAAAAAGTGGGATACCTGACCTTTGCATGATCCATTGGTAACTTGTACGTCTGGTCAGAGCTTCATCACCACCAATACGAGCAGAGCCAGAGCTCACTCTTACAAGTTGACGGGACAAAGAAGCGACAGCACAGATGTGTCTCTTGCAGGGATTATTCCCGGTGGCTTGCAACCGATCGGCGCTGAGTGTTACGCGGAGAGGAGGCATGGCATGGTAATGGTGACGTATCCTCGGCACACCGGCTGCGGGCGTTTATGAGATTTGAATGCTGGCAAATGGCACAATGCCGGCGATCGGAGAGAATCCATGCTGTTGGGATTTGTTTATGAGATGAGATTTGGTGATTTATTTTCTGAGGTTGCAATGATGAGGCTCTAATGACTCTGTGTCTGGTCATGGAATGTCAATGTTCGTCCTGATTAGGCAATTTTCCCCAATTAGACGCCCCTCGTGTACATGGGCAGAGCTCGGCGATCTTCCCTCGAGTTATCGCCCCAGAAACGGGATACGGCAAAGACAGAGAGACATACACACACGCATAAAAGGATAAAAAAGAATAATAAAAATTAGAAAGAGGAAAAACAAGCACACAAGCTATACCAGAGACACTGTATACAATAAGCTGTCTCACATGTCGTAATCCGCACGGGCTGCGCCTCAAGTGGACCAATCCCTGCGGCTTCCCCGTGGCTTGGGCCAAACATTTGCTTGGCCCTTTTGTTTTTTTTTTATGGCCCTTCCACTTCCAGAGAGGGCGTAGAGGCGTCTTTGTCCCGGGCAAAAAAAACAAGGAGGAAAAAAAGAACTGGACATGTTCGTAGCAACTTGGCGTTGTGGAATCATGACGTTTGTATGACCCGTGCCCCGGAGAAAGCAACACGTTCTTCGCGCAAGAAATTGGGTTGGGGCTTTGCCTTTTTGCTCTCCCCAAAGGCGATTGAATTTTGCACCAGCTGGGCGAGCAGCCAGGCCGAACTGAGGCGCGGAACGGCTCGAAGCATATTTCTGTTTTATTTCATTCCTTGTTTTACCTGGTTTCCTCCATTCTTTTTTCTTCTTTTTGGCCGAAAGCTGCAGTGTTTCGTAACGGTTTCTGGTCAGACATGTGCGTCTGATTGGCTGTGATAAGGGCAGAGGACGGGTGGTACGCGCAAGCCCGGGTGTGGAATGAGGCCCATTCCCATCCTGTGAGACTTGCAATTTCGAAGGTTTGCCTACGGGAGAGAAAATTATGGAGTCTAGTCTAGACAAACAAAACACACACATGCAGCCAATACAATCGGAACTTTTTAGATTAAGAATTGAATTAGGGAGCCAATGCATAGAAGCTGCCAAGGGAAATGGAAGAAGCAATAGTTGGGAGAAAATGAGACAAGTGAAAAAAGGTTTCAAACTCCGCCGTCAAGTTGTAAGCCGTTGCTCGTATCCCGAAACAGCCGTCCGCCACAGCCCGTCAAGATCGACTGCCACCCCTCTCTGCCACGTATACGAGGAGAGTCCACGCGCTACAGTATAATCCGTACGTCAAGGGCATAAGGATTAGTGAGTTGTACGAGAAGCAAAAAAATAGTCGTACCAACAGGTTCAATGCAGCTTTTATGCATCGGCCATTGGTCATAGGTATCGGAAGTCCTCCGGAATCTCGTGTCGTGAGATGTACGAGTATCAATATCTCGTTACCTCCCCACAAATGTGCGGCTCGACGAGTCCTCAAGCTCAAACAACGACTGATGCAGCAGCGGACTTTGCTTTGGTGAAGCGCTAATACCGGACAGCTCGCTCTCCCTGCCCGTCACGCCATCGGAGCTGCCAACGGAGACAAAGTGTCGGTTGCCTGGCGTCGACGGCGTTGCGGGGAGCTCTGAGATGGGCGACTCGAGGCCCGGAGATGGCTGGGCACCAGCATGGAGTGCTTGTGATTGCGCCATCTGGCCGGCGCCGGCTCCTGACAGCTCGTGCGTGTTTGCTGCTGTCTTGTCATGATACTCGGTCAGCGAGTCGTCGCCATACTCGTCCTTTCTGCCGGTGCCGCTGGCCGTGATGACTATGCTTGGGCCCTTCTTCTTCCGCCGCTGCCTCAGAGCCAAAAAGGCGGCGAGGACGAGGATGCAGACTCCCGCCACTGCTCCCATGGCGATGCCCGCGATGGCGCCTTTGCTGAGCCCCGTATGCGTATGCGCTGGAGGTGACACTGCAGCAGGCTGAGTGCTAGTGGCACTGGCAGTCGTGCTCGCCGTTGTGCTCAGCGTTGTCGAGGGGGTTCTGCTTGTTGTCGATGTCGATGTTGATGTTGATGTTGATGTTGATGATGTTGTTTCTGTTGTGGTTGTTGTTGTTGACGATGAAGAACCCGCAGACAAGAAAGGGGCTGCTTGTGCCCTGTTTGAGCTCAAACTCGCAGCTCCGAGTTTGTTCCTCGGACAGCCGGTTGTCATGCATGCGTCCTGGGAGCAGCATCCCAGAAACGGTGGCGAGGAGTCGCGACAGACGTACCACTGGTATCCGGTGTCCAGGCAATTCTGTCCTCGGATCTGGTCGTAGGCATCGGGATTGAAGGAGAGGGGTTGGAGATTGTTGTCAGGACAGTCGCCTGAGGAGGTGATGCATGGATTGATGGTGCAGCATCCCACAAAGCGACTCGGCTGGTCTTCGCAGACATAGAAGCTACCTCCCCTGGGGCACGAGAAGTCTAGTGAGCTTCCCATGATGATTGCTGACTTGGGCCTGTTTCTTGGTATATCGATGTTGCTGCTTCGCCTGGACTCAACTCCCTGGATATGAGCAACGGGCTGGGGTTGGTGTCTGTGCAGAAGTATTGCCTATGAGTGAAAAAAGCAGCAATCAAACCCAAGCAAACACGTTCCCCCCCTTATCTCTAATAGTCCAGCAAGGAGAAATCTCTTTGCAGAAGCACAGACGGGAGAGTCCTGGAGTACAGATCCGTGTTTGTCACGACGGGACGGACAGGACACCGAAGAAAAAAACTTCTCGTCAAGGAAGAGGGGGCCCTGCTGCTCTTCTCCAATTCCTTCTCATGCACCATCCCGACACCCATCAGTCGGCTTAAAGGGGGGGGCCAGCTTTTATCCTCATTTCGGAATATCCCCCCGTCTGCGGCTTGTCTCTAATTCCCGAAATCAGAAATCAGGCTTTGTGCGTGTCTCCCCATGCAAAGACAACACAGCGGCATGTTGGCTTGGGTTGGCGTTTTCGAGTCTTGTCCAAAGCCTTCCCCCTGCTGTCCTACCCATCGCAGGGACTTTCGAGAGGTCATGGCCCGTTTTTGCGTTTCATCGGCGAAGATCATGGCTTGTGTGCTCTTGAAATGGACAAAAAAAGGTGTGATCAAAACGCCCAGATCACTCGGAAAGGCCTGAGGATACGAGAGGCTTGGGAAGGATCTAGTGCCCATTGCGGGTGGTTGTTGGTTGCTAGTTTGTTGGTCACAGCAAACGAGTTGTCTGCACGTTGGTCGTGGGCTAGAGACGACATTTTCTAGCTCCCCGCACCTGAGCAAATGTTCAATTGCTTGGCAGCCCAAAGTTCCTGGATGACAACATGATGGAAAGGGAAACGAGGCTTCCAGGTATGTGATACAAGTGACGGCCAGTCCAGTGTGTGGAGGAAAAGAAGCAGAAGCTGAGAAGAGGTGCGGTCATATACATGCTGGGATTCTCTACCATCAGAGGTGATACCCCTGCGCAAACCCATGAGAACACGCTACCAGGGGTCGTCACATGAAATGGTGATGGCACCAACAGCATCTAGTTCAAAGTCCGATGTGATTGGGAGACATGTCACCAGCATTGGCAAGATAGGGGATTCAGAGCGGATCAATTCCAAATACTATCGTCCCATGCCCTCGAGACATATTTGTGCGATATGCTACATCTAGCAACTAATCAGAACCTGTCGACATGATTATTATCGCCATTGGCAATATGGAGCCGTGAAACGAACCCCATAACCAGATACATGCACTCTTTAAATGCTCGGGGCATCCCGAAATATACTCTGCGACATCGAACGACCTTCACATATATCCTCCACAAGGCCGAAGCAAAGAATCTCACTCCTCTAGACGCTCTTGGATATTTCGGAGAGTTGTTGCAACCGCCGACATGAACTTGCGTAATTCACTTCGCATGTCTTCGAGAGCCTGCTTATTCTGTTCGACAGCTTCGCGCACTTCCTGAAGCTTGCTATCGTGGTTGCATTGTAACTTGTCCATAGCTTGCTGGATGTTTTCGGCCCGCTCATTGACCTTTTCCAATATTTCATTGCCATCCAACTTCGCACGTTTCGAAGAACTTTCAGGCGCGGGGCATAGTCTCTTCTTGTTCTGTAGAGATAAGATGCCAACAATATTGTCAATGTTCCATGTCTCTGGTACCACAGGCTCCGCATTTGCTGGTGCCTCTGGGGGAAGCTGAGTTCCTGCAGCTGTAGTATTCTCGTTCTGGCTTGTTGAAGCTGATGTCTCATCGCCATTCTCCTGTGCAGGTATGGTATCTTGCTGCTGGCCATTAATTGTGGTCGGCATAACGACATTCTTATGTCGATGAGGTATATTGTCTTGTTGCTGGCTGGTTGAGGCTCCTACTTCATCATCCTTCTGTGTTATAATCGCAATGTGTTGTCGTGGTATGAGTTTAAAGACGGCCTTTATCTTCTGAGCATGCGTAGCATTCTCTTTATGGCGAGGTGCGATTGATTCACCGCTGTCCTTCTTCCAATCACGCGAAGCATTTGGTTTCTTGTTCGAGATCTCGTTGTTCTGCGTAAGGTCGATGTTGATCGGCTGCCTAGTTTTAATGGACTCTGTGGTGATCTCCTGGCTGCGTGGTGTTGGTTCTGGATAGTAGCTTCGATATTCCTCTGTAAAGTCCAAAATGTTGGCGCTGTAATATCTTTCTGTTACAGCTGTGACAAAGTCCGCGGGCAAATTTCCATATAATGATAAGAGAAACATGTAGTCAGACCAGCGGATATCCTCTGTCGGAATTTTGCCCTGGTAATTGCGGGCGTTCGTATACAGAATGTGTGAAGTCACCGAAGTCTTTGACAAGTAGTCCACCTCGCCTCCCGTTTTCAAAAATCCTAGAAATCTTGTGCGTTGTGCGCAGGTCAAGCGTGTCGCTTGTTTCCAGTATATTCGAACACATCTGACCGCAGCGGCGTACCTGGGATCTGATTCTTGAATCTCCAAGTCTTCAATCTCCAGCCTAGGAGGCCTTGTTTTGATCGAGGCAACCATCTTTCTGGTGGTGATGTCGATTCGAGTAGTCTTGCATATGTCAAGAAGACTGAAGAAAGGGAGAAAAATGAGAAAGCAGAAGAAGGTGGAATTATTCTCGTCATAGAATGCAGCCTGCACAATATCTGGTAGAGAGGGAGAAAAAAGGTGCCCAGTGGATACACTGAAAGTGGGAAGAAAGTGAGGCAGAGGTGAATGAAGGTGGCGAACCATGCAGCTGGCAGGCAGTCTCGCCGGTCTGCCAGTGGCCCCAAGTTTCAGGCAGAGATATGAACAGTAATTGCAAATGTCACTGTAGCGTCAGTTTTACAGAAGTCATACGAAGTATCATTTCATCACTTAGTTGGAATTTTATTGTTGAGTTGCTGGTGGGCAGGATCGACGGCATGCACACAATCTCAACACGGTAAGCTCGTAGAGTGTCTGGTGAGGATGCTGTAATTTGCTCCAATGAGGCAGAATCCATACAAAAATATCGCCAGGTCATCGGTACTGATTGAGTGCTTCTTAAATTGCAAATGATTGAGCAAAATTTCAATTCCTGCGCGTTTCTCGAGTGCCGTAGGTGAATCTGAATCTTGGAAGACTCTCCGAGAACTATAGACATGACAGTACAAACACCAACGAATTTTATCACTTCTCCGTATCCAAAAGAAGGACAATTGTAGAAATAAAATGGCGTCTGTTAGCACATTCGTAACTTGACATTTATAACTGACCCTCGAATTATTGTCCATGATGAAGAATCCCAGCGGTCTGGTGCGAGGCAAGGCCCAAGAAACTAGACTTTAGATTCAAGCTAGATGAGCAGAAAGCTATTATGTCGGTAAACTGTTGCGCTATATCAGCGGCATATTGAAGCAAATCGTAAAAACGAAGATTCCGAACCCAATCTGAAGCAGCCTCATAATCTCAAACTCCCAGAAGCAAACCGCTCTTTTCCTTGAAACCGCCATCCAGCTCCAACCCCCAGTAAAATAACCACCAGCTTTTCCAGTCCCCAGTGTCGCGTCCAGCTCCGTGACCGATGCCATGCCCCTCTCCCCCCAATGAGCTCCAAAAAAAGAATAATCGAGAAGAAAATGAAATATAGAGCAAAGTGATTCGTTGCTTGTCCTTAGCATGGGCCACCGCCTCAAAACTGTAAACCCTCGGAATCAACTCCAGGTTCTGTCAATCGGCCTCTTAAAACGCCATATCATTGCCCCCTCTCGATTCAAGCGGGTCTTCTCTTCTCTTTCGTTTTCTCGATCTTGATTCTTCGCCTTCCTTTCGCTCAAAGATCTGTTCGAGGCGCTCATCGTCAACCTCCGTTCTTTCATGTCCATCATCCTGGAGCATTCGGGCGACCATTGCCTCCTTACCCGTCTGAACTTTGATAAGACGATCATCCATACCGTGATTCGTGACGATTCGCACCGAAAATGTTTCTTTCTTCTGGCCTATCCGGACCACGCGGCCGATGGCCTGCCTCTCGGCCTCCTTGTTCCACCAAAGGTCGACGATAATAACGCGGTTCGCCACAGTGAGATTGTGCGACTGGCCGCCGCTCTTCAAGGTGGAGACCTGTTTCTCAGAGGTAAGGAATAAGCCTATTCATTATTGCATTGCGTTGAACAAAGAAATGATAGGACTTACCATGACCATCGTCTCTGGATCATTATGGAACGCATGCATTGCGTGTTCCTGCCCGCGCCCCGACAACGTGCCGGCATAGTACACAAATTTAATACCCAGAGTCTCAAGCTGATAGCCCACCATCTTGAGCGTCGTAACAAACTGCGTAAAAACTAGTTTGCTCATGTGTCAGTCCATTGAACCTTGTCTGGATGTCTTCATACACTGACTGATAATTTTGTCTTGGGGCGCCTCGGTCAGCCAAGTCATAACAACGGCCATTGTCGCCGTTAGCCTCGAACTCGGTGGAGGGACAATCCGTGGGCCGTAAGTGTAGGAGCTGGCAATAAAAAACGGAGATCGCTCTTGTCTCGCGTGGACAGTATTTTTGAGCGAATCTCTCCCAATCTCCACATAGCCCTTGTCCTGGTTCGCCATGAAGGCGAGCTGTCTCAGAGTAGTCACTCGCTCCACAAACCGAAGGTCCTCACCACAACCATCGGAGGAGCATTTGAGGTACTTCAGCTTGTGTTAGTATATTCAGTACACTTCTCGCTTCTGATGGGAACTATAGATACTTACGCCTGATTGCCCTGCTTCCGACAAGCTGCTCATCCGTATCGTTAACCGGCCGAAGCATTCATCGCAGTACATGTGGCCACACTATTCAACGATCTAGTTAGCCAATTCAAGAATCTTATTGTGATCAATCACGGTTTCTTACCTGGAAACGAGAGAGGTTCTGAGATGTGCAAGCAGCGCCGCCACACTTCTGTACATTGACAGTGCGTTGGAGAATGATAAGATCCATGAGCTTGCTCATGTCGAAAACCCGCCCAGGAACGCTTCCTTGTGGGATTTGAGTATATCAAGGCCCTTTTGGTATTGGCCGAGATGTTCTGTCCATTTTTCATCTGCTTCGAGCTGCTCAATGACAGTCTTCTTGTCGCTCATTGAATTCAAATCCGAAGCCAGTGACTTGAGTTCATCTTCGCTGAGTTTATTCCCCAAGAAAAACCTCTCTAGGCAGTATGGATGAGACAGAGCCTGCCTCAGACGCAAATGGGCCTGTGACTGGAATTTGGACTTCTTACCCTTTTTCACTGCGCCTTCGTCTTCGTCTTCGTCATCTTCTTCGTCTTCTTCCTCTGGCTTAACATCTTCCACCTCGTCTTCGTCTTGTTCGTTTTCGTAAATGGGCATCCCCGCCCGCTCTTTATCTTTCTTGTTCTTCTCTTCAAGAGCCTTAAACAATGAAATGATGTCACTTTGCTTGTCAGTACCTACTCTCGCACATGGCGTACATGACTCTAAACTCAGCAGCTGCATACGTACTTGCATATAATTTGCTCTTCTTGCGAAACTTCGATATATACCTCTCGGTGAGTTGTCGGCGGAATGTTGAGCTTCCCATCTCCAGTTCTACGTCTCGTCAGCTGATTGTGCGTTTGCGTTACGCGAGAGACTTACCTCCGATACACAAGAGTGCTGAGGAAAGAGTCAAAGTCCTCATTTGTGACCTCCATGGCATCCTGAATCAAAAATAGCTTATCAGTTTAGGTTTAAACACCACTATTAGGGCGCTCTTACCTTGACCATGTAATCATTTCTGAAGACTCGTCGCGTGCCTCGGTACTCACAGCAGACTAAAGTTGCATACGAATAAAACTCTGACAACGTCATATTAGCTCTCCGATTCCCAATTTCACCGTTTTCTGCAGCATTCTTGGCCTTACCCATTGGCTTGTTCTGGACAGGAGTGCCGGTCAAGACCCACCAGTGCTTGGCCTGGATGCGAGTACACGCATCCAAGGCTGTTCGGATTAGCGAAAGCGATTTCTGATTTGAATCAAGCATATAGACTTACTGCGTCCGTTCCACTTGGTAGCTGTATGGCCTTCATCTAAAATTACCCTGAACCAGTTGATACGGAACAAGAACTTTGCTCTGTTTTTGAACTCTTGCCTAAGCCAACGCTGGTCGTCCGCATATTGAGCATGCAGAGATTCCATAACCTCTTGGCTCGGGAAAGAATTTCGCACTTGGGCATATGTTGCAAGACTACACTTGATAAGCTTCTCCGGCCCTTTAGTAACTTGTGGAATATGTTAACTCACACGATCCATTGCTTCTCATACTGCGCCAAACGGTAATCATCATCGTTCCCAGTATGGATAGTCACAAGCGAGCTTAGCTCTTCATGCCAATGTTTCTGAAAAGGAATCAGCAAAAGAATCAAGTGGTTCCAGAAAAACTTACCTTGGCCTCCGCTAGCCACTGGTTGGCAACTGTTCTGTTGGGCACAATAACAAGTGTCGCCTGAGCGGATATCTTTCGATCCTTCTTAGGTGGCCTATTAGCCGCAATGCATGCCAAGCTCGTAACCGTTTTTCCCATTCCCATCTTATCAGCTAATATGCCCCCATCAACTGTTCGCGTCTCATCTTTCTCCCTGTTCACCATCCAAGACAGCGCGGTCAACTGGTGATCCTCGAGGGTAGACCGGAACACCTTGGTAAACTTCTTTGAATTGGCAATCTTTTTCCCATCTCTCAGTTCCTCCTTTTGTTCTCCTTCATGCCGGATGCTGCACCCTTTAGGGATCCTTGCCCTTGCCTGCTCGACGTCGAACCCGTTTTGCGACTGTTCCTCATCACCACTGCTTTCGCAATCATCTCGTTGATGATTAGGGACGAATGTCTCTGATCCTTTTCTTCTTTTGTGTGATTTTGAACGATCGCGAGATTTAGATCGTTTGCGGGAATGCTTGTGCTTGCGCTTCTTTCCGCTCTTCTTGTGAGATTTCTCCGGAGTCGCAATAGGGTCAGCAGAGATGGTGGATGGATCAACATCTGTCATCTCATCACACTTTGATGTTGCAGCATCCCTTTCCGAGGTTCCATCTTGGATTTGTTTCTCACCTTTGACTTTGCTCTGTTCTTCCTGCTTAGGAAGCTCTCTTGGCGAATCATCATTGTTCTGAACCTGCTGAAGATTTGCCTCGCCATGCTTAGTAGTTGACTGTTGAACTGCAACATCGCCATCATTTTGCAGTTCAACTTGGCCAATACTCTCTGTTTGGCTGATCTTGTCGATTGGTTCTTGAACACTGCTAGGAATCTCTTTCATTCCTTGCGGAAGATTACCCTCTATTTTAACAGTTGCGTCTGAATTGTTTGAGGCTTTAGCCACATCGGGTTTATTCTGGTAGTTCTCTGGTGGAGCAGGCTGGGTGCTACCGGCTGTGTTTGAGCAGACAATTTGTTGGGCAACTGTCTTTGCAACCTCAGATTTCGTCACCCCTCGGTTGTCGTGATCGAGGTTGTTGTTGAGGACGACTGGCTCTTCTCGTGAAGGCTCACCAACTTCTTGTCGCATAAAACGCTCAAAGATTCCTCGATTCGGATTCCAAGCGGATTGAGTTTCGCCGTTCTCGTCTGTCTCGGTCTTTATCACAGGCGCTGTGGACTTGGGCAATTTGTGTGACTCGCGCTTTGTTATTTTGCTCTTCTTAGAGCTCTTTTCATGGCGCTTTTTCGCCCCCAAGGGGGCTCTCGAGGGTGAAGAAGGCATATCGACGATCAATAGTTAATATTTCTAAGAATACATCAGTAAAAAGTATCTTCACAACCGAAAAGAAAGACATGATACATTGATCACAATAAGTAGCTCACAAGCCTTGGTAGAATGGAGCGAGGTGAGGCGAGGTAGAGATCTACTTCTTCGAGAATTTTTAAAGAGAGTTGAAGAAGCCAAGGTGTATCTCAAAGGACAATAGGCTGTAGCAAAGAAGAGAAAGAAAGAATAATATGGATCGCTAAAGAGTAAAAGAATGCCAATATATAGGCAGTCGAGATGAGATCAAATGAGGAGAGTGTGTTGAATAATGAATAGCTAAGGAAGAAAGAATATGGACGTCGGAGAAAGTGTAGAAAAAGAAGAAAGAAAGAAAGCTGGAGAAGGAGATGGGTGAGAAGAAAGTTTGGGGAGTAGGGAGATTTGAAAACGAGAGATGGAAGAAGATGAGCAACAAAAGCAAGGCAGAACAGGGCGGTGAATATTTGGCAGGAAATTCGAGTCACTCTACCTATGTACACTTGACGACTCTCTGCAAGAAAGAGTGCCTGATATCGGCAGCTTGCGGTGAACACCTGGCAACGTGCAGCTGGAGCCAGATGGCGTAACTGGTTCTGCCTGCACAGGTAAGTAAGTAGAAATGGGTATTATCTGGCACAATAAGAAGATTAATGGACGCAAAATACAATTCTACCGGGAAGTACGAGGCATTGATGCTCTCCATACCACTCGAGTTCGAAAGACTTGCAAACGCCGACTTCAATCATGCAAGTACAAGATCAAAACATCATTCCGCGTGCACACAAAAAGTCTGTATTGTCAATATTTTCAATTCTGGTAAGTTCTACAGAATGCAATAAAGATATAAAAACTAATGCATAATATATGAGAACATTCAATCGGCCTTTGCTTCCAGCTTCACCACCTTTCATTCTCCTCGACCCTCGCTGCAAAAGCTTACTTTAGTTGGCATACCCTTCTCTTAAGCATGCATTATCACAAAGAACCGTTGAATCTTACCACTATTTTATGGATTCAGCCACTAGACAGATTGTTTTCAGTAAGAGGTTCAACATAAGACCCAATTTCATCACATCACATCCGTAGTCTGTCAATTTACCAGCACATGTCACAACGTCCGGCAAATGCATCATTTGTAAACAGCGTATATTTACACAAATCCTCAATGGATGACCATTTATAGACTTGCTTTCATATAAACATCTGCCCTCCCATGCAGGATCAAATATATACAAGAATCTCCTGCTGAGAGAGCTCAAAAGTCATAAATATATACATCAGAAAGAGAGTAGAAATATGTACAGGTCGCAGTCTACTCAACCGCAGGCCACCTCCATCAACTCCTTAGTTGTTGATGACGTAGCTGAATCCAGGAATGATGCTGCCGTCGTTGTCGTGTCCACCAAAGGCCTCCCACAGATCAAGGGTCATGTCAATGGAGTTGGTGTTGCTGAGGTTGCGATCCGCAATAGCAGCCTGGCGAGTAACGCCGTTTCGGGTGAGGGTGATGATCTTGGCACAGAGAGTGTTGTGCTGAGCAGAGCCGTACTGGTCGAAGATGTTGGCGGGCATGGCAACCAGGGGCATGTCGTCGGGGACCTGGCCGACGAAGTAGGTGCTGAGGCCGCAAGCACCAAATTGGTAGAGAAGGTTGCGAGCGGGAGCTGGGTCTCCGAACATGAAGATGGAGCCGTTGGTGTTTGTGCCGGAGACGGTTGCGGGAGCAGCCGAGGCGGTGGCAGCCAGCACGGAGGCGGCGATGGCAAGTGAGAACTGCATTTTGATTGTAGTGAAGCTTGAAGTTTTGTCTTGAGATGAGTGGTGAGATGAATTGATGGATTGGGCCAGACCACTGCTTTATATACTCGTTTCAATGCCTCCTAAGCTGTGTTTCTAATCCATATAATCAAATATTTCTCGGCTCGTATGTCCCAAGCAACTGCAACTCTACCCCAGCCACGTGTAACCGTTGCATCTTGCCATTAGCTTTGAAAGCACGGGCATGCCGATGTCTTTCTCATGCTTTCAAAGGACATGGATAGAACGAACAGCGCCCTGGATCTTGGAGCTTCTCCTTTGGTGTCTAGCGCTTAGAACAGTTCGCACAAAGCGGGCTTGCATCGAGTCCATTTACCTATCCAGATTGCCTAAATTAGAAGTTGAGTGCTCCGCTTATTTTTAGCTGGTATGATGATCTACATCAGCTGATTCTAGGGGAAGTCAACTTTTCGCTGCCTGTCAACGGAGAATATAAGTTTTGACGTGACTCGCCTAAGCAAATGCCGGCATATGGGAAATACAAGCCTTTCAACGGGGAGCATGGTCAACTAGAACGGAAAACAAAGCTACAAGTTCTCCGAATAACTAACAAGATGCAATACGGGCAATGACCGACGGTTCTCACTTTTAGGATTCGTTCAACCTTGGCAAACAACTACCTCGCGTTTCGATTCCAGGCAAGCAATGGATCTAAGACAGGGGTAGCTAGTAAGCACCAGGGGTAAAACAACTCAATCCATGTCTGCATAGGGCAGGAGGCAAGGTTGCGTGACATTTAACGCATGAAACAAATCTTTCACTGTAAGGTACAGGTACGCGTCAACATTGAGTTTGCTTCTGTCTGTGCGTGCTTACCTAGGTGTAGCGAATATCACTTTGTTAGTATTGTGGCTTCTGATCGAGATCTTTAGCATGGGCATTAGTCGATAGGAGTATAGTGTAATACGATTCACTCATGCTAGAGAAGTAACGTATGAGATCTTGGCGATGAAAACAACCTCTAAATATCCACTTCGTTGCGAGCTTGAGGGCGTCTCGGCACTCGCGGGTTGTCCGAGTTTACATGTACTAGCCGTTTGTTCAAGGATACATGAAGCATCGTGGGCCTAGCCTCAAATAGCATCAAAGAAGCACCACTTGCTGCAACACATCGCATTTCTGGACCTAATGTGGCAAGTTTGTTACTTATTGCTCAAATCCTTCTGGCTTCATTCATCAAACTACAGGCGTCTCGACTTTCTTGCTATTGGCTGACACAGCCGCTTCTGCTCCCCTCTCGCCCTGTATCTACTAGCACCTTGATGTCTGTATTTGTTCAAATCAGCAGCTTGCAAGTGATTCCTCATCCCAGTACATCATCTCCACTACCAATGGCAAATTGTTTGGTAATAAAGAAAACGACCTGCTCATTTCAGCGGCTTACCCCGACTAGAAATTGCTGTCAAGGTGGCTGTGTGATGGCATTCCGCCCCGAGAAACTGGAAAGCCGAAAAGACCCCTGCGATTGTTGCTGCCTATGGGAAGAGAACGATGTGACCTTTCATGAAGGTGACCGGATATCGCTCTTTTCATGCATTGATGGGGTGTTCCAAACTACTTTCTCACCACATCAGTGACAAGCGAAATAGTATATAGGACGACCGAAATACCGAGCAGCGAAATCCCGAGCCGTGTTTGAAGTTATCGACTCACCTTTTAAGGAAGTTAGAATGCTTCATTTTTCGTAAGCTTTTAGTTATGGCATGTAGTGTAAGACGATGCGCCCTCTGTGGCCAGACATGAAGGAGAAGGAAGAAGATGATGCCTTGCCTCAACATATAAGAACGAGAGTCAGCGAGAGTCAGCCTAGAGTAGTAGACGATACCACATTCCTTGCCCTGGGGACTTGATATGCGATGAGATGATTAAACCGGCTCACAATTTCTTAGCTTTACTTATCAGATGTTTACATATTGCTTCAGTCGAGTGAGTTGAACGTAGAGTATCAGAAGAACATGCTGTAATTCTAGGTACAAACAAGTACAGTATAGTTTAGTACTCTAACTCGGCAGATTGATGTAAAAGCTCTCTACTTAATTAACATATACACGTTTATAGCGAGAAAGTTTGATGCATTTAGGTTCTCTGCAATGTAGCGAAAGCACTTTACTTGAGGGCATACCCAAGTACCAAGAGCTGATGAGTTACCCTAGAGCTGGGTTGAACATATCAATTTTTCCAGATATTTCAGCCGTAAATGAGATCGATATGGTAAAATGAATGCATCGAAGTCTTCTGAGCACTGACAATCGTCATCAAAACATTCCTGTTGGTAGAGTAGACTCATTGTAAGTAGTTGGTACTGGTAACTCAACTAATCTTCTCTAGATCCCCGTAAAAAGAAACTACTGCTATTGTCATTCTGCATTCTTTCTATATTACAATTCTTTTTCTTTTCATTTTATAGGCACAATGATGTTATAAGGAATCAACGAGTTCAGTCCGCGTTTTGCGTTACTTGGTGGTGGTCCAGAATTTGCATGTGACTGCAACTGCGACTGCAACTGCAACACCAAATCTGATCTTGTCGGAAGCGGCCGTAGCGGTGTAGATCACCTCCGATCGGCCCTTGATATTCGTCATAACGCAAGGCTCAATATCTTGGTCCAGCACAATATTCAGCAAGATCTGTTGTTGTGTGATCAAATGCGCTTCGAAAAGATCAACATCTCAACTTCTCAGTCCCCAAGGCAAAATCTGGGGGTCAGAATGCGTCATGTCACCACCTCAATCGTCATTCGCCGAGTTCTTCCAACCCCGAAATGGCGGATGCATGTTTCAGTTTATGCTCTCTGTACGAGGTTACTGCGACTCTGCGTTAGAATATGCAACCCAAGGCAAGCACCGCATGGAAAGTTCCGGGGATGGACGTGAACGTATGAATAGGATTTTAGCCAACTCCCACTGCAGGTGAGAGCTCACCGCACTTTAGCAAATGTGATTCGTCTATAATCGGAAGTAGGAATGCATAAAAGAGTATTTGTACATAAAAAAAAGTGTGCCAGCCTTGACTCCTACTGCTAATATGGGCACGAGGCAGTCGAATCAGCGCTTGCATACGTGTGCCTCTATTCCACCTCAAGTATCGTGTCTTGTCAATGTACTTAATCGCTCCTCATGAAGTTGAGAAACGCCTTTGCGATGGCGACGCCGTCGTGTTCGATGGGTGTACGTTTCATGCCGTCCTCGAACATGTCGTCTGTAAAGATACCAGCCTTGTGTCGGTTGGTGAGGACCTCGGTCACAATATCGCCCGTAAACTCGGGATGGCCTTGGACGGAGATGTACCGACCAGGGCTGTACATGGCCTGGACTGGGCACATGTCGTTTCCGCCGAGGGGAACGGCACCCTTGGGAAATTCTAGAACAACGTCGCGATGCATCTGATGAATCCGCTGCAAGAAAGGTGCGTGTTAGCGCAAGCAATACAGTAATTACAGCCTAGTGAAAGCAGCGACAGGGAGCTCACCATCTTGTCAAGCTGGAAAATGGCCTTGCCCTTGTCGGTCAAGTCAACCTCGGTGACGGCCACCTCCCAGCCCTTATCACTCCTGCCGAGCCGCGCACCCATGGCCCTGCCAATGATTTGGTGGCCAAAGCACACGCCCACGACCTTGATGCGACCGGTGTCGATGGCCTGCCTTGCATACTCCACCAGCTTTAGGATCCAGGGGTCATCCTCATATGCCGTGTGACGCGAGCCAGTAATTAGAATGGCGTCGACGTCGTCCAGCGGCGGGTACGACTGCATGTCTTCCACAATGTTGTGCGCCGTGATTGTGGCCACGTCGGAGAGCTGCCGTGGCGGAACCATGGATTCCGCCGCCGCCGTCAACAGAGCAGTAAAGACTCCGCGGTAACCACCATATTTGGCGTTTGTGATGGGCTGCGGCGTGTCGGCCTCGAGGATGAGCAGCCGGAGAGGCTGGGGGGAGCCGGATGCGGGCCCGGAGCCGGAGATGGCATCGGCCGTCATCTTCGGGGGCAAGCTTGGACGGACCGGGGCGGAGATGTTCGCTTAGAGCCAGAGCCAGTGGCAGAGCCAGAGAGTCTGGACTCGAGGGGGAAGAAGCGTTTATTGGAGGGCAGAGTTGGGCGATGGAGATGCGTCAAGCCAGAGCGACAAAGCAGACGGCAAAACGGATGAAGGAGATACGAAGAGGGGTCCAAGCCAACTAGCATCCGGACCGCGATAATGGCTTGGGCCTTGGGTTTCCGAATCGTGGAGCATCGTGGAGCATCGTGGAGCATCGTGGAGTATCGCGGCCGATAGCGGGGAGTTTGCAAAGAGAGACAGCGATTAGACGGTGTAGGGGTTCGGTGGTGGCGGCCAGGGGGGAATATTATTCCGGAGGTAGAGGCGAATCGGATCTCGAGATTAAAGCCTGGTACCTGAAAATAGCGTTGCAGAGGCTCACAGACTGGCCAATGGCAGCTTGTCGCGTGTTTGAGTGGACGTCGAGTATGTACGGTGATACTAGCTTGTAAGATGCCCCATGAGCATGAAAGCATGAAGCATGAAGCAAGGAGCAGGAGCACGAGGGAGCACGAGAGAGCACGAGGGCGCGGAACCAAGGTGACACAAGCACAAGCACCAGCACCAGCACCGGCATGTGAGTGAGGGAACAAGGCAATGCGGCTATCCGATAGACGGCATATCATGTCTGGGTGATACATACAGCAAGGTAAGGTAAGGTAGTACATACATACGAGCACATGCTACGAGTCAACAGCGTTGTCGGTATCTGGCAGTGTTGAGCAGCACTCCATGTCCGTCCAGGTTCTCGGAGCCGCCATCGATGCTGCTTCCCGTGGTTGTAGCCCCTGTACTGTATGAGAGCTCCGTAATCGAGGAAACGTTGAATCCAATAGTCAGTCCACAGTGAATGATGGAATGAATGAATGGTTCCGTTCCGTGTTCTAGAAGCAAACCGTTAGTTGTAGTGCTAAATTAAGAGACGGGCGATTGGATGGATCATCACACGATTACACGCAAGTCGTGGGAGGTACTCGTACTTGTGCTGTCCCATCGTTTCCTCCTTTCTCCCTGCTCTCGCCCCCCCAATCTCATGTACGTGTACCTGCACTTTGTTGCCTCACCTGTGACATCACTGGCCGAGGCCCAAAAGTGCTATCGATAACCATCAGGCATGGCAGCAGCAATTGATACCTTGGGAAGCTGCAACCTCCATGCACTGCATATTGCTCAATCTCCTGATTCTGTCGCCTGCATCTTCTTATTTTCCTCTCCTCACTTCTCACTTCTCTGCGTGTCTCGTACAATTAATTATTACCACTCCATCTCGCTACCGGTCGTGTACACATGGCAGGCGAAATCCAAGGTCTCTGCCGTCCTCGGTCTCTAAAACGACTCGACAGACGGCATTATCGCGAGGTCATCTGTCTTCCCCCTCCCTGCAGTGCAACATGTAATTATGCGGGGTGCGTGTGTGGTTGGACTCTGAAAGCCATGTCCCCCACATGAGGTCTATCAGAAACGGCTGATGGCAGACGACTTATGCTTGATCCATTTGGTGGCAAATCGCGGTGAAAAGAAGAGGCAAAAAAAAAAAGAAAAGAAGCTTGCCGTGCATGCCGCGACATGAATCCAAAGCCAAAGCCATGAGAGACCTCGGTATGCCTTTGCTGGAGCGTCACGCGGTGGCCAATTTCTTATGCTCTGGTGCTGCTGTCGATATTCACAGCGGGAATACTGGACTATTGCCTGGAAGGATTGGACGAAAAGCGCAGCGCCTGGCGGGCTAAAGGCCAAGCCTTCGCATCGTCTGCCGGCCAGCTCGTGTCCAAGGCACGACTCGCAAGTGGCGTGAAATGGACGAATGGGTGGCCGACACACACCACGCTGGCACCACAGGCTATTGATGCAACTCTCGTCGCTCTTATCGAGCCAACTGGATATTCACCTGGATAATGTCCTCGTCGTCGCTGGTGGCGGCGGGCTGGCAGCTGGACGTATCCGAGCCCTTCATGCCGTTACATTTCGCTCTTGTACGATAATCAATGGGGGGAAATCAGCATTGGGAATGCCTGCATTGGCTCCTGTGCAGCTCAATCAACTGATTCTTGCGCAGAATGACGGGCGAATGAGGCCGGCAGAGGATAAAAGCAACCGCGCAGCATCGCAGATTTTTTGCAAGCTTGTGATAGGCAAGGCTGAGGGCCCGATTACTGCTCAGCATCAGGAAAAGCCAATTGCCCATTGCCATTGGTGATTATTTCGCGATATAGAATGCTACCCTGATGGATGCTCGTTTTTTCTCTCATCTTCTTCCCGAGCTGGCAGGCCAATGATACGGTGCCTCGTAGGTCGAAGAATTATGCAGCCGCAAATGCATGCATCTTAGACCACAGTGCAAATGCAAATCGAAATCTGCATTGTTGGGCCTCGTGCGTGTCATCCGCCAGTGATGAATGAGGAAGAGACAACAAACACCACACGGGGACGAATAATGCACATGTCCCAAGCCAAGCCAAGGGTGCTTGCTATTTTCCGAGAGACACGCTCAAGCGAGCGAGTGGCCTGGCAGTCTTTGCCTGAAGTTGGGCAGCCATGGCGGCCCCATCGATCGTACCGATGCGGATTTGCTGTTCGCTCAATCCATCTAGCTGCAGCCACAAACTGCTGATGTGTCAACGGCAAGCTTCTTATCCTTTGGGCTCTCGTCCAATCAGCCTGCCAGCGCATTTCGGCAGCAGCCAGCCTGGGTTTAGAGCGCCGCTCCGGCGGTGACTTGTTCACTCTGGTGCCACCCAAGCGCCCACTGGCAGATCCAGCGCCAAGCACCAGGTGTCCAGGGGAACAGGTCTCTGTCATCACGAGAGAGAGCGAAGCGTGGGAGAGAGGGGGACAAGGAGACAGAGGCGGGCGCTGGCCAGCGATGGTGCCGATTATCAGTGTACAGTATAGTACTCGTATCATGTATACGCAGCAGTGCTATTTTCAGTGAGGCGGCGCTCCCGGTACCGAGAGGCTGGCAAGGACGTGTGACTCTTGGGGCGCTGTCTCGTGCGCTGTTGCGCGTACTGTACTTGTACGAGTAGAGCCTGGTGTCTCAGACAGGGCCAGGGACTGTTGGCTTACAGCTGGGACCACTATCATGGCCTTGTCAAGTCGACGATGACTGCACCGATCCTCCAGGTGATGATGAATCTTTGGGCTTTGCACATGGTCATTCAGCGGCCATATGGGGTTTGCCGACGGTGAGAGCCCAAGATTTGCGCAGTACATGGCCGAAAGCGAGGAGAGCATCTTGCGACTTCTCCTTTGTTTCTTCGTCAATTTCATCATCTGCGCAGACGAACTAGCGTATGGGACAGGTGAGAGTTACGAGCTGGTAGCTGAAGTCCTCTCCATCTCCATCTCCATCGTGGTCGGTTGCTCGCCACGTAGCAGAGCGGGAAGCCAACCGGGGGTTACAGGTATTGTTACTCGCGAACCGGGCACTATCGGAAACGACAAGCAGCAAAATGCTACAGGGACATCGGGCGAGCAAGCCAAGGCCAAAGGAGAAATGGCATGGGAATAAACCATTAGAAAAATGCAGAATAAATGAAAGAGCATGGATAAAATTTTATTTCTCGGCATAGCATATCGCTGCTGACGCCTCGCATACATGATACTGCTGCTACAACCAACACCGGCGGAGCACTATGGTGTCATCGATCTCATATGTGTCAGAACGCTGTGGACGCATCTCAGGGTGGTGGGCTCTGAGAGGTCCTAGAAAGCGCCGCGGCAACAGGGATGGACATCGCGGACGAAGCAAAAATGATTTACCCCAACCACAGGCTCCATCTCTTTTTTTACGATGCGCCGAAACAGCTCCCCGGGCTATTCTTTGTACGGCATGTAAGAGGGGAAACATGCACTCAACTCGGTCTTTGATGCAGATGTGCCATGTCCGGACGGCCCTTGGGGATGTTGGTTATCCAGGAGTTGCAGGTCTCTGAGAGCCCAAAACCCAAGGCTCTAAGCTCCTGCATCGTGCAGCCGCGGCCGCCATTGGACACTGGAGCGAAAAGAGAAGCCTAGAGGCCGACTTACAGAGGAGGGGGATCCATCGATATGCGCGAGCTAGGGTCTTCCATTAGAGCGTTGAACACGCGGCTGTCAACTTTGCGGCTGCGGCCCATTGCGCTGGCGTCCCCTTCACTGCCCAGGCCCCTTCTTGGACCCGTTGCCCACAGGCCAGGGCGAATTGGAGCCTCTGTTTGGAGTGAAAATTCTGCTCTTCTCCTTGCTGGTGCTTGACCAAGCGCACACTCCCCCGTATTTTGCCAGCAAGCCGGTATTGGGCCACTCGCCTTACACACAGCCCCCGGCGGGCACTTGGACTCTACCCGGTTCACACGCCCCTGTCCCATTAACCACCTCCATGTTTTGTTCCCTCCTCTGGGCTTGCATGCCTTGCTGTATCTCTCATTTGGCCCAAAGGCCTGCATGCCGAACACAGTAAAGAGTCGAGAGTGGCTTGCCGCCTAATAGATCCGCTAGAATGCACGAGTGACTGGCGCATCCGAAGTGTGAGATGACATAACGGAGGGGGTCGAGTCTTTGCACATATATCACACCACGGGTGCGATCATGATCTTACGCTTGGAAGACTCTCGACTCTATAGCTCGATATAGCACTTTTACTTTGACCAAAACACACGCATTCTGCACTCTAATGACGTCCCTTGCCGTCTACATTCCGAAAACTCGATAGAGCTTGCAGCTTATGTGCACAATTGCATGATTGGGTCGCCGTCGCATTTGTCATTAGTCTGTGCTCTTGATATAAACCGACACCGACTCTCACCAAGGACAAGACCAAATTCACTAACACCTACACCTACCTACCTCTGTCTTATATAACATATCAACAACTACAACCACTTCACAACATACAAAGACAACTTGATAACAGCCTTTATCAATTCTCAATCCAACTACTCCAAACCCCTTATCGCTCAACAATTAACAGCAATGGCCGTCCCTTCAAGGCGACAGGCTCGCGCGGCGTCAAGGGCCAGCAGGACTACGGCCTCTAGCATGGCTCGTAGTAGGAATTCCACAACAGCTTCAAGTCGCTACTATGCGTCAAGCCGTCAACACGATCAGACTTCCAGCTACGTGTCTGGTTCCTACTACGACGACTCTCGTCACTCATCGAGGGATACCTGGGAGCGCGATACTTGGGAAGACCTGCCCCAATCCATCGTTGACACTGGCTCAGACTCGTCTTCATCCGTCTACACATACGACTCTGCCTACTCAGACGACAGGTCTTCAGAGTCTCACCACGACTCGGACAGTGACAAGAAGGATGCTGAGGGAGACAACTGCGCCGTATCGGGTATTCCTCCTTCTACGCTGCCTCCATACAACTGCATGCCAGTGCCCGAGATCTCAGTCCGATCTTCAGATCCCGAGACGTTTGCGCATCTCTTCCCGTCAATGGACCGTCTGACTATCCGACATGACGATCGAACCGCCGATGGTAACATGAACCTCCGCGTCGATGCCATTGTGCCGGATAACTCATCCCGTCGTCGCCGTGCTGTTGCCATCCAGCTCTTCCACCTGCGCATGCATGATCTCGCCAAGCGAGAATTCTCCCTGCGACGATACTGCCGCGACTCTGGCCGCGAGGTTTGCAACTCCAAGGGTGCCAATCCCCTCCTTGAGCGACCAGCAACCTCTTCCTCATCCTCGCTCTCACGCTCCGTCACCAGTGCCCTGCGCTCGGTCAAGACCTCATTCCGCCGATCTAGCGGCGCCTCTGCCGAAAAGGCTGCTGCCATGGCTACTACTCCCAACCCTCGTCGTCCTTCAATCGGCAGCAACAACTCTTGGGGTTGCGGTGGTTCCATTTACTCTGAGGATGTGGCTGGTTCCGACTCGGACGAGCCCAAGCTCCCCTCGGCCCGACCCATCCCGCTCAACACGCTCAAGCTGGAGTTCAGCAACTACGCTCGCGTGGACATTGTGCGTCGCCCAGGCAAGCAGTACGACTTTCAGTGGTGGGGACACACCTATGCCTGGCGCCGTGTTATGGACAAGGCGCTTGGAAAGGCCGCGTTCCATCTGATTCGCGACAAGGAGACGGAGCCCGTGGCGGTTATTACCCCGGAAGGCCGGGCCCCAAACCAGGTCGAGGCCGACCAGGCTGCGGGCAACTGGATTCCCCCCTGCTACATGTGGATCAACGACAGCTCTATCATTGAGGCTCTTACTGACGTAGCTGAGTAAGTTACTGCCCTCCTACTGCATACATCTTGCTGTTTCTAACCTCATTTCTAGTGTCATCATCGCTACCGGCCTCATTGCTGTTGTTGACGACTCCATTCTCAGCCGCTGGCCTCCGGCTAAGAAGGCTGGCACTTACACCCGTCCCGTCACCCCAGCTCGGCCTCACACGGCTCCTGGAGCGACTGCCACAGCCACCACCGCTCCTTCTACCGCCGTTGTGAGCAAAAATATCACTGTTTCGGTCCCACAGCCCCGAACAAAGGCTCTTGTCCACGGCCTATTGAACAAAGCCCATGCGCTTGGCCCACTACGAAACCTCAGGGGACACACTGTCCTTGCTTATTAAAGCGTGCTATTGCAAACCACATCGACAGATTTTTCTTATAAACACAGAAACAGACACAGACACAGACACATCGCATTCTATAAAAACACAACAAACTCTATACGATTCAGAAAATCTTGAATAACACGACAAACACACATAAACACAAACCACAATATCACAATATCACAATCTCATGAAACACGACTTACGAAACACTATAGAATAAAGCGATGGGACGCACTCATCCGTCCAGTCTCTACCTCACACTCATTTGACTTTTCATTTGTCTTGCATTTTCCTTTGTATAACACATCACGACCGGAAAGATAAAAGGATTTTTTTATGAACATGTCATGACATTAGCGAGCGTCTGCTTTTTTTTGGAATTTGAAATTTGGAATTTTGAGGTGATTTTTTGAACATGAAGCGCAACCTTCATGACGACACGAGCGAGAGAACAAAAAAAGGAATTTGCATATTTGCATGGGAAAGGGATATATAACGGGATACATTTACATACACATATACATTGCTGGCGCTTGGGATCTTTTTTGCTTTTTGCTTTTTTCTCTTCTTCACTTCTAATCATAACCTCCCCCCCTTTGAGCGCCGAGAGATTGTTGCGCTGTTTCTTTTTGGGATATGGATTTGGATATGACTTTGATATGACGGCATTTGGATATAGCGTATATAAATAAGGCACACATAGATAGATTGGCTTGGGATATTTTGACCGTTTTTTGGCCGCCATGAATTGAGAATGAAATCATTTGGCTCCCCATTTTGATGGCTTCTTTTTTTTGGTCCTTCTATTAAGTGAACTTGATATGAGAATACTACTACAGCGCCTAGCATAATAACCAATAACAAGATGACGCCAGTCTCCAAGATGATTAAACCACGAGCTTCTTTCTATATATACTCTCCTTGAGTTGTAATCCACGTTCCAAAGTCAAGCTTCATCAACAGACGATTAATCCCCCCGACCCTCACAGGAACATATTTCTCTCCATCGCCATACTCCTCATGTCCATCCTCTGTGCCGTCAAGGCCCTCCCACCGCGCGAGAAACTCGACGTCTCCTTCGAGCGCCCGCAGCGCAGCAATGACGTCTTCTATGCCCCGCTGGATCTTGTCCTCTACGCCCCGTATGAGCGCCATGGTATGCTGCTCTTCGCGATTGAGATCGGTCGAGGAGTCGAGCACGCCGGCGTCGGTCTCGAGGTCGATGGAGGTGAATATGGAGTGTAGTCTCTGAATATGCGTGACGAGATGGTCGATGTGGTTGAGGAGCGTGTAGAGGAGGTTCGTGAAGGTGGGTTGTGTAAGTAGCAGACGGTGGACGAGCGTGCGGAGATATAAAGAATGTGCTGTTGTAAGGGTTTGCGGGTCAGGGGCGGGACGAGCGAGGATTTTGGATACGTCATTTGGATTTGCGGCGTTGCTGGAGGAGCTGGGTCTCCAGTCCATTGTTGCCGTGCTGTGTTTAGCAGAGTGTGCGGCTGGCGTTGCGGCGCCGGAGCGACCGCCTTCTCGCCGTCGTTCTTTTCCTGTAAGCCAGGTGAGAAAGCCTTCCCAGAGACCTTCGACGATTTCTGTCTGAAAGTATGCTTCTGTTTCGCCGAGGAAGAAGATTGCTGCGCTGGCGGTTGTCCAGGAGCTTCGGAGGGCTGCTGATCGGGCTGACCAGCGCTCTCGGAGGATGCCGGCGTATTCGGTTGCTCCACGGGGTGCAGGATGATGTCGTCGTAGAGAAGTGATTTTCCATAGGTCGGTGAGGCGAATGTGGGCTCGGCGCATAGACATGAGGTAAGAGTTAATGCAGGAGTAGAGTTGGAGGTCAGAGGGTGAGATCACCATGTCGAGGGGGGATGGCAGTTGAATGGATAACGTGACGGGAGTTGAAAAGAGCAGGTTTCGGAATGGTGACGAGGCGAGCAACTTTGCTTCCTCGGCATTGAGGCCTGGACTGACGTTGACGGGCGTGAGGCTGGCCTTGGTGAGGTGTAGCCGAAGTAAGTCTCTTGCGAGCTCTAGTAGCTCGTCTTCTTCTACTTGGTTCCGCTGCATGGCTACCAGGACAGCCCAAGTTCTTGCCAAAACGGCAGAAACTTCTCCGTCTTTGACGGTGACATTCTTTACGCCGTCTTTGCTCTCGTGCGCTAGATTGCCTGCTCTTCTCCAGCGATTTCGAATTCTGTCGTCTGCCTCCTGCGTCAAGGCCATGGCGAACTCTCCCCTTCCAAGTAGGAAGAATTCTCGGAGCAGCTGCAATGTCTCAATGACTTTGGCTGTGGGTAAGATCTTTTGAAGGGTATTTTGTGAAAGTGATAGTCGAATAGAGACAATGGTTCTCGCGAATGTTGCGCCATTGACAGGGAAAGATAGACTGGCTAGCTCTTGGAGTTTTGTCGAGAGATGATCTAATCCTCCCATGCCCGAGTCGACTGTTGCTCTGACACGCGTGTGGTTGAGTGATTTGCCAATGAAGAGCATCGATGTCGCTGTGGCCGGTGTGACGAATCCCGGCAAAAGTTCTGGTTCGTAGATGTATTCGGCAGTCCCGTCTACCTTTTGGATGAAAAAGTCGTTGCCTCCTAGGTTCGGCAGTCTCCCATAGAGAACCCAAGCCGACACCTGTTTCAGCCATGCAGTCTCTGCCACCGTTACCAAGCTCATCGCCGCCTCTTCTACGTCCCGATAGCCGCTCTGCAGCTCAGTTCGCAGGCGGTTCATAATCTGAGAACCGCGACAGGGACCCTTTTCGTCTTTGAGCATCATAAACTGAACAATATCCCAGAGCCATTCAAAGCGCCTCGTCCATTGCGTAAACTCTCCCATCACCGCCGTCAGAGGCACGATATTGTATTCGCCCACCAGCTCCGGGTCCTCCTTCAGTATGCTCTCCTCTACCTCCAATATCTTGCGCTGAAAGGCAGACAGGTGGATCGACTGTATCGCCGTGCCCACGGCCCTGCATATCGGCGACGGGTGAGAGCCGGCAGTCTGGCCGGCGTACTTGATGAGCTTGATGTGGATGTCGCTGAGATGCGCCGCCGAGGCTAGTAGCTGGCGTTCCGAAGGCGTGACGCCGGACACCGGGCTCGAGTCGGCAGCTCCGGCTCGGAGGAGAGGCGACGGATGCCCCGAGAGAGAGAGGAGGATTTCGTGGAGCATGGCTCGGGCTGCAAGGATCTGGGAGAATGCGAAAAGTCAGGGTCAGACGTCAGAGCTATGAGAGGCCGAGCATTCCGTGCTGGTGACGGACCTCTTGCTGGCTTTTCTGGCCTTGAGCGAGTCGGTGATGCGCTGAACGATAAGAATAACGACGCCCAGGAGCTCGAATCGGCACATTGGTTGCTTTGACGCCAATCTTTGGATCGCGGGACACGGTGCAAGTTGGTGGGGTCAAGGCGGACGAGGGTCAAGCAAACGAAGCATTCGAGCTGCGAATTGGCATCGCAGGCGGTGAGTTTCGCAATTTGAAGCTGGAGATTATTCGTTTAGAACCGGAGAATCCGTGATTTTTGCATGGCGAAGGAGAGAGCGTTGGTGGGAGAGGAAAAGCGCCTCTTTGACGCGTTTGGCTAAATTGATATTCTAGAAGCCATCTTGAGCTGGCGGAATTGTGCCGTCATCGCTTGTCCGCGTGCGCACGTGATCCCCATTCTTTGGCGCAAAGTCTATGGCAAGCTGTCAATCAATTATAAGAGCAGCAGCACTTGAATGGTCTCAACAAGTCAAGAATCGTATCTGCGTATATCATATTACAAAATAGGGTTCGAAATGCACTACTAAGTAGGTGGTCATCACTCATATCAGTGGTATCAATGTACAGCACCAGTCATACACATCCTCCAACACACAGACACATCACCAGGCCGGCTTCTTCCCCTCCCTAACCCCTTTTGCGTCCCAATCATTGCTCCCTGGGATGTTGATTTCGCCGCCGTATGTGTTGTGTATTGTGCTTGAATCGCCATTACCATTGCCTTTGCCATTGCCGTTACCTCTCCCATTGCCGTTGCCATTGCCTCTTCCATTGCTGCTACCATTGCCGTTACCATTACCATTACCGTTGCCTCCGGAGACAAGGGCTGCGTCGGATCCGTTGTCGCCGCCGACAATGATTTGACCGCCTCCCTTGACCTTGCCGACAACCATGCCCTTGGCAACACTCTTGAGAATGGCACGACGAGAGACACCAGTAACGTCGATGTAAACGAGTCCGACATTCTTGAAACCGCTTCCAAGGTTTCTGGAGAGTTCACCCGCCTCAGGGCCCCAGCGGTGGCCAACAACCGTCGACATGCTCGATGTCGTGCCGGTAAGCAAAGTCCGTCCAGCATGCTCCATGCCGTCGACGACCGTGTTAAAGGCCATCAAGCTCTTGTTGAGGACGCCCGGCTTGTAAGTCTCGATGACATTTCCCTCCTTGTCGTATCCTCGAGCCCGGCCATCCTTGCGCTTGGACATGCCGGCGCCGAAATTCTGGGCAAACTGGTTGATGGAACCAATGGTCTGGGCTGACAAGGTGGCGACCTTGGTGGAATACTGGTTGATACGGCGTATGTGTTCGTGGGTCGTCGGTGCGAATGTCATGGGCTTTGCGGCAGGCTTCATGCTCTTGGTCAAGTTGTCGGCTTGGTTCTGCATTACTTTTGCGACATAGTCGGATGTGGTAATGAGCAGCCGTGATGCCTTCGACGCTGACGAGACAATAGTTGATGTTCTGTATGCGGGATGCATAGTATCCTCGATGTAGTCGTAAGCGGGCTGAACGGAGATGTTGTGGCTGCCATCGGCGGGAAGAATAATCTCGACGGGTTCTAGGGACGGGATATGTGAGCTTCTAGCAACAGCGGACCTGGAGGGATGGCAGGAGAATATGATTACCTTTGGACCCGGGTTTAATGGCGCCGTCTTCGACGACGTTGAAGCCATCGCTCAGTTCTCCCATGACGCTGCCATCCTCTTCGTCAACCAACACGATGCGCCCCGCAATGTGCGAGCTATGGCTGCCCTGGGCATAACCTTCGCCGGGCTCAAAGTTGGCCGGGTTATAAGCGGGTGGTTCATCTCTACCAGCTTCTCTCGCCTTTGCCCTGGCAGCATCAGATGGCTTGCGTTCGGTAGGTCTGCGGGACTTTTCCGGAGGGGGAGCTGGCGCTTTCTCAAGGAATGCGGTGCATTGCGCAAGAATCGTTTCAAAGGTGTCGACGTCCTCTTGCACGCCAGGCCTGCTTCCGACGACGGGGAACTCTAGGCGTGTGAATGCGCCGTTGCCGGGGCCGAGATCCCATCGCGGAATCAAGTAGCTGCTGGGGGGCTGGTGGTAGATTTGTGTGGTCGCGGGAAGTGGAAGATCGAGTTCGGGGGGAAGATGAAGGTGAAGATAAAAGTCTTGCTCTCCGTTGCCGATTTCAGCAAAGCCAGACGAGGTTGGGACCATGAGCAGCGATAGGGTTTGGGGGCCCGAGGGAGTTAGAGACTGCTCGGTGCCATTTGCAATGTGGTAAGCCTTGATGCCCTCGACCGAGTAGAGCAGCTTCGGATCCTAGCGAGGTTGTGAGTTAGCTGAGGGTTCTATACCATAAGGTTAAGAGGACTGTTACGAACATTGTGTCCAGAGGCCATGATGATAATGATGAAGACGTGGGATACAAGCAAACAGGATGAGCAAGGTGTAGGTATATGGTGCGGATGTTGATAGGACGAGGATTTAATGTACAGGCGATGCGATGCGATGCAACGCAATCAAATCGCGGGGTTGTTGCAGTGGTTCGTTGGCGGGGCTGTCGGTGCTTTAGATCAGTTCAGTGCATGCAGCAGCTGATGAAGCGCTGAAAAGGTCTAGTCAACTGAATAGCACCCAGATAATATATGTTGCAGAAGAAGAGACGGAAGCAGAAGCTCAACTGCGCAAAGAAATCCCCCGTGCCGCCACCACAAAAGCATTTAAATAGCATCATGGTGATTCCTCCATATTCTTGGAAACAGGCGCCCGTCACATGCAAACGTCATCACGGCGTCTCTTGGTTGGCCGTGCAAGCGCCAGTTTGGTGACGCCTCTGATGCGGGATGCGTCATTCATTGGCCACAGTCGCCACCAGGCACAAGGGCGGTGCGCTAATTTAAGCTTCTACAGGCGCCGTTGTTTATTTAGCGGCAAACTGGGG